TGAAAGCTTCATGCGCAACATTAATTTTTGCAAAATACAAAGCCAGCTATACAAAAATGATGCGCTGAAAAATGTTGGTTATATTTAAAAAATATGGAAAACCTATTTGCCGTCAATATTCCGATGGTATTATGAGATCTTGAAAAATGCATTGTGCTCGTTCGTTACACCGAATATAATGTCGGACAAAGAACGCGGGCGTTGAAATGAAAAAGCAAAAAAATAACGAATCATTACCCTCGACAGAATGGAAGCCGAGATCACTGCACGCACTTGAACTCGCTCGCAGAAAAACAAGCCAAAAAGCAAACAGAGTCAGGTTATTATATGTAGCGTTGTGTAGAGGAAAGCAGGCAGGGGCATGACCATATAAAGCGAGTCCAGTGGCCCCGAGAGCAGGCAAAAAGCACGTGTGTGTGTGTGTATATTTATTCTCTCTTTCTCTCAACATCGTTATATAATAACTAAATCTCGTATGAGCTTGGTGTTGCTAATGTCGTTATACTCGCGTCGATGTGCTCGTATTTATAAAGGCGGTGCGTGGACGATCGCGTCGACTGGGTTGGCTATATGTGCGGCGGCGGCACTATATACGGCGGGGCCGGCGTCAGCGAATATTTAGCCTTTAAAGAGTATAGCAAACCGCACTAGCTCTCGGCCCGACTCGGTGGTGTTATAGCATTTAAGCTCAGCAGCCGGGCGCGTAGGTATATAACGCGTACGTGTGTGCGCCCCGTATAATATACACACGTGGCTGACTGGCGCAGCTGCTATACTACTCAACTTCTCGCTTGGCACATTATCGAACGTGCGAACTGGCGCCGCGCTCGGACGGGTTACGCGCCTATATGTGTGTACCATATTATAGCACGTATTAAATGCACAGCGCTATGCGCGCAGTCAGCCACACCACTACACGCCGAGCTTCGTCACACATACACACATACGTACAAAGGCAACTTTGCGTTAGCACGTAGCGAGTGAGCAGCTTGATTAAGAACTATTGTGTTGTGTATACCGGGCGTTGTATGTGCTTCGCGCGAGGGTAAAACAATAAAAGTCGGCGTATCTCTGCGCGCGAGCTGCTAGTTGCTCCTGCTGCTGCTGCTGCCGGTGTGCTTTGCTAAGCTCTCTTCGCACATCTTCTGCCTTTCTCGCTCTCTCTCTCTCTCTCTCTCTCTTTCTCTATATATATATATATATTTCACTCGAGTCTCTCTATGTATTATACACCTGCAGCTGCTAATCCTCTGTTTACAGCGCGAGAGTATAACGATCCTACAACGACGGCGCAATGTTATACCTACCACGTTCGACGATGTTTCATGATTATGCGATATATGTGCTCCTCTGTTATATTCGCGCGCGCGGCTTGCTTGTGTGTGATTATTATTTTAAGCTTATCAGGGATTCCCAGTGAGTGTGCCTGTATTTCACATACCGTATATATATATATACGATGGCAGTTGCGCAAGATCGTGGTGCATAAATTATGCGTCTGCTGTTTGATGACTAAAAAATAAGCTGCATTAACGTTTCGACACGCCTTAACGAGCTGCTATTATACGAGAAATCGAGGCTATCGCGCACATATAAAGCTCCTCGATACAAATATCAGCTCGTGCACTTCTCTCTGTCATCTTTTTGCCATAGCGAGCGAGCTGATTACGCAAGCTCGCAAGCTCGAAATTAGAGCTCTCGGATTCGCTCGTATTATGCCGCGTTATGAATATAATTGATTGACTAGATATACAAGCGAGGCGGAAACTCCTGCTACGCTGCTATGCCGTGCACGAATCACACACATACACTGCATGTACACAACTCGAAGAATCAACTGCATAATTCGACGTACGATAATGAAGTAAATAAACGCGCTATCTCGCTACATTATACGCGACAAAATTGCCCTCGATAATCAGGCCAAACTTGGTGACCCGCGAACTTGCGCCCTGCATACATCCACCGTATATTATAGAGTACTGCGACGACACCGAGTGTTCTTGTTTATGCGCATACTGTCAATAATAGCAAGTGCGGCAATTAATATGGCTCCTGTAGCTGTATAGGATGACAATTGCGATGCGACGTAGACCAATTTTACCTGGCTTCGTCATCGGCTAATGTGAACGTCAAATAAAGCTTTGCTGCGAGTCGCGCGCGCGCGCGGATTTGGAATAAATAAGCGCCAAGACTAAAATTGCTTCAATTTGTCGCACCGAAAATGTTTGCCGAGAGTTGATTCTACGAGTTTCGCAGCTTGTTTATTTGCTCATGGCTACAAATTGTGCCTTACTCGTCGTCCTCTCTAACGCGACAAGAACAGCTGCGAGCGTATATATATCTATACACATGCGAAGGAACAATCGCAGAGCAGTGGATAAAAGAACGGAGCACTGCAGCACGACGCGCACGAGCCGTCCAATTGATATAAAACGAGGCTGCAGAAGCAGCAACCGCTCGTCGTCCCGTTAATTGTCGTATAATTGCGCGTAAATACTCCGCACAAAGCCAAGAGCGAGATGGCGTTGAATTTTCCTATAGCGGTATACGCGTGCAACTTTATCGCAGCGAGCTGCGCGACGGCCAACGGGGACCGGCCGCGCGCGAGCTCCTATACCTATATATGTACGTATATATAAAGTCGAGAGAGGAAGTGCTATAGAAAGAGAGAAAATCTTTTTCCCGACACTGGAAACCGTAAAATTTCAAGCGTCGAGCTAGCCTCGAGTATCCGTATCTTTCTCTCTCTCTCTCCCTCTCGGCGATGTATACAGTAAAAGTCAACTGTAAAATAAAACGGAGTGCGCTAAATCCCTGAGACATTCTCGCCCGGCGCCGTATTATATATAAAATGTCGGAAAGCTCCCTTGGACCGTTATATTTCGGGGTGTATGTGTCACCTGCGAGGGTGTCTGTGTCCGTGGGTGGGGGCGTGCGAGGCAAGACCAGCAGCGCATACGTATCAGATATAGTGTCGAGGCAATAAAGCAATACGTCGCTCGGCTGAATCCAAAAGAGAGAGAGAGAGAGAGAGAGAGAGGCTATATGGACACTGGCAAGCGCATACCTGGCACATATATATGGAAGTGCAGGAGCGATATGAGATACAACGACGGACTGGAGATGGGGCTCGTGCCTCACCAGTCGAGTGAATAAAATACCAAGTGTGTACACGCAGAAAAGCGTTGCACAGGTTACGTATAGATCGACGCACCAAAGTTGCTCTTCTACTAGCTTGGCCGCGCTCAGCCGCTCGTGTAATATGGAGAACAGGCTTTTCGAGCGCAGCCAGTCGTGTAAAGCCTCGCAAGCTTAGCTGCCTCGATCTCCCTCGTCCCCAATAAGTTTTATAAGTGTGCGAGAGCTCGAACAGCGTCGCCGTATATCGTCGAGTAGACCCTCTGCGGTTGAGTAACTGAGGGAGGCACGCACACACACATGTATTATACACTGACGTGGGTATGGTAGTACGTGCCGAAAGCTACACATGGACAGGCGCGAGAAAAAGACTCGTACTGCAAGCTCTCGCGTTCTTTTCGGCGTTAGTGGTGTAGTACTACGTCGGAGCGGAGCTAAAGAGAGCGAGAGAGAAGAAGCTTTTGAAAAATAGCGCGCGACCGGCCCAGATGGCAAGGAGGATTAGTCAAAGTGACTCGCGGGCTTGAACTATTGCGAGTTCCTCTGCAGCTGTAGCAGCAGCGTGTTACTACTTACGAGCTATACTGGTGTAGCAACTTTTTCTCGGCTCGCACCCCGAGAGTTTATAAATGGTGCCACGTGTGTGTGTGTATGCGAGTCTATACTTGTGTGTATGTTGCTACTTCGGGCTTTTTTGACCACGAGAGAGTGAGAGAGAGAGAGAGAGAGAGAATGGAAAAAAGGGAAGAATAAGAGAGCAAGCGGCGTTGAGCTTTTCGCCGCTAAGTGGATTGTGGAATTGCTTAGAGGTGCACTTCAGTGGAATAATTGCGTTTCGCCTCGTGCCCCCTGTACTTTGTTTTCGAGCTTTTTATCATTCGTACAGAGCCGAGAAATGGAGAGACAGGAGCATATTATGCGCGCGCTGGAAAGGTAAATTTTAGATCCGCGAGCAATTGTTTGCCGCATCCGGAGTGCGATCGTAATAATGCCCTCGATGACTTTTACCAGCTTCAATTTTTGTCGCCTATCCGCTTGACGTGCCTGATTTATCGGCCTCACATACGCTCTTTTTATCATCCACCATGTAACGCATGGAAATCTAGCGCCTATATACCGACGTGCTCGGCTGTATCACGACGTTCTTTACAACGTCGCTCACGGCTTAGATTTTTACGATAAGTTTTCATCAATGAAAAGTACTCGTATTAAAGTGAAAATGCGACGATTTACGACGCGAGCTCCGAGGATAACGGGGCTGTACTTTCGCATGCGAGCGCGTATCATCTCGTGATATACCTCGTCGACGTAAGAATAATAGCGCGAAACTATTCACAATTATTATACTGCACTGCGCGCGCGTCGAGTGATTCATAACATGGCTCCTGGGTGCAGCGGAGGAAGCCAGCGGAAAGCAAAAAAAAAACTATAAATTTATAATAATATGTAGATCACACGCAAAAATTCGCGATCGCGATATTTCATCCGAGGCGCGCGCGCGCGCAGACTCTAACTGCATTCGGAAAAGTTTCTCTCTTGAATGTGCGTATGAAATTAGATGCTCTATGCCATAGAGAGAGAGAGAGAGAGAGAGAGAGAGAGAGAGAGAGAGAGAGAATGGAAGAAGAGCGCGGAAGTTCGTAGATACAAATTTTACAACTCATATCTTTCTCGCTCTCTCCATCTCAGCTTAAACACCAACTTCTTGTACGTTATAAATCAATGACCACGTTGCGCTAATGTTATATTCGCGCTGAGTGAAAACTTTTTTTTATTTAATATATCACGGAGAAAACGTCGTAGTTTTATCTGGAAAAATTTTTCACTTTAAAAAAAATGGCTCCCATTTTATTTTGCAGACGGCGAGTACGAGCCGAGGCAGTGCTCGCAAAACGGCCTGGTCTGCTGGTGCGTCGACCGGACGGGCAAAAAAGTCAGCGGTTCGATGGGACCAGCCGAAAAAGTCGATTGCAGCGATAAATCTACCGTAACCCCGAGCAGTACTAGCAGCAGCAGCAGCATTACGACGACTACGAGCCAACAACAGGGTCGATCCTTGCCCCCGCAAGCCTGTACACTGCAACAATGTGCTCAAGTCTGTCAATATGGATTTAAGACCGACTCGGCAGGGTGCCCGACTTGCGAGTGCGACGATCCCTGCGAAGGGTAGGTTTTCTTCTTTTTTTTTNTTTTTTTTTTTTTTTTTTTTTTTTTTTTTTTTATACTTACATTCATTCACCTCGTCTCCTTTTCCAAAGCTGCACATAGTGTATAAACTTTTTCAAGGATCCGATCGATTCTCGACGGAAGCTCCGACGATTTTTAATTAAACGATTAACGACCATGCCGACGAATTTGATATTATCCCTCTTAGTTTTATTCCGCCCTTTACACCTGACGCCTCGTATAAAATTTTACTCCGACCCCGACATCCGCGTATTTCGTCGAGTGTCAAATGCACATCTTGACGCGCGGCATAAAAATGCTATAAAGACGGGCTTTATACACAGAGGTAGGTGGTGGCCGCCGGTAGAGCTCTTTTGACTCGACTGGCTGATAAAGAAAAATTACTTTTTTGCTTTTAATATTTAATATTTAATATTTATTATTTAAGGCTAAGGACTTAAGTCCAACGTAGCCCAAGGCAACAATACAGTCTCCCGGTTAGCAACGCGAGACACGAGCACGAATATCACACATATCAACAATTACAAACATGAAAAAACAAAAAAGATATACAAGAAAAAGAATAATAAAAAACAAAAAAAAAAAGAAACCAATAGATTACAAATAAATAAAAGACAACTGGTAAACACCGGTAGACTAGCCACCACTCTGGAGGTCCAGCAAGTACCTACGAAGGGCGGCACCAAAACCAGGCCGCTGAAACCCTTCCCGGAGTCCCAACGGCAGCGAGTTCCAGAGCCGGGCCCCCCCATTGGCGAAGGACATTTGTCCACGGGTCGTCGCCGCGCCAGGCACAGATAAGCAGAGACCATCCGTCCGCGTCTCCCTCTCCGCCACCGCCGAGTGAAGCACGAGACCGCGTTTCAGGTACTCCGGTTCCGCGGACCTCAAGACAGCGGCGATAAGGGAGACGCAGGTGTACCTGATCCTGGAACGATACTTGAGGATTTCGTTGCTGATGTAGTCGGGTGTTATGTGCTCCCATCTCTTGCGTCCAGTGAAAAAGCGCACATAACGTACGTCAACATGTCAACACGTGTTTGTCTCGACTCCTGCTACGTTCTCATCTAGCTACTGGTGTGTTGTATTTTAGTGCCGAATAACTGTACAAAGTGATAGCTATTAGTGATAGCTGCCCGTGGCCGCGACGGTGTGCAAATCGCAGTCCCATGAGTATCGAAAATTGATAAAAATCCAATCGATCTCTCAAGTCGTATATTGCCAGTGTTATTATACGTTAGAGCTCCGTAGATCAGGAGCTTGCTGGCTTGTTTACTTTCGGTATTTCCAACTGTCACTTGAGCGCTCGACGTTGTCCAACATAAGACATGCCAGACGCTTCGTCTGGCTCTGGACGCCAGAGTAATAAGCGCCTAAAGAAAGGAATCTCAGACGCTGAGCCTCCACCTGGGTCTCCTTTACTCTCAAAAGATGACGTGAATTGCATGCTCTCGGAGGTCGAGAAACATAGAGCTGACCTATTGCACCTGTTATCGAACGAAAAAGATGCGAATTGCAAGAAGAAGCTCAGGGAAGCGCTCAACGCCTACGCTGACATCATGATTAAGCTCTGCAGCGCCTACCTGTGTCGCATTACGGCCGATGAAGTGGCCAGTGCCTCCAAAAAGGTCATAGAGGATGCGAGTGCTAAACTCGAGCATACCTGCACTGCCTTGAACTCTGCCTGCACTGCGCTGAACTCTGCAGCCTCTGGGCTCGGCGCTCGGCGTGCCTCAACTTACGCTGGTGCTGTTGCTGATCATCGCGACAGACGTAATGCAGCAGGGCGCGTGTCGCTCACCACAGGAAAATCTTTTAACGTACCAAAGCGGGAGAGAATTATCATTGGACCTACCGACAGTGCCAAAAATCGATACACGTCGTCAAGTGTAACCAAGGACGCCTTGGTAAAATGTATTGATCCGTCGAGACTTAAAATTGGTGTTAGTCGTCTTCGTTACGGTCCGTTGAATTCGGTGATCATTGAGGGGGACTGCCTCAGCGCTGAAAAATTCTCTGGGTGCACGGGCTTGTCTGATGCCGGACTTGAGATCAAGCGCGATGCAAAGCTTATGCCACGCGTCGTCGTTCACGACATACCTGTCGATTATACGAGCGATAGTATCTGCGAATCAATCGCTGCCCAAAATCTACCCGAGGCAACGTCTGCAGATTTGAAAATGGTCTACCTGTACCCGGCTGGTACGAAAAAACACCGATCCTGCATAATTGAACTCAAGCCTGAGTTCAGAGCTATCCTCATGAATCGGAAACGCGTAAACATTGGCTGGATGTCTTGTCGCATTGATGACCATATTAACGTCTTACAATGCTTTAAATGCAACGGATTTAATCACACCAAGGATAATTGCGAAGAAACTGCTCCAACGTGTGGTAAATGTGCAGGCACTCATCTGTCCAGCGAGTGCACTGAGTCGTCTGTGCTGCACTGCATTAATTGCGAAAAGGCTGGCTCCACCAATGTCGAACATGCTGCCACGGACAAGTCGAAATGCCCAATACTCAGGAAAAAAGTTGAGCACAGGATCTCGCAGATCGACTATGGCGAACTTTAACTGTGATCTATCGTCTGCGATGCTCTGTATGGGTCACATCAATGCGCAGTCTCTTTACCCGCATATGGAGGATGTGCGCGATCTCGTCACCCGGCATCGTTTGCATGTGCTGGCGGTGAGTGAGTCGTGGCTCAAGCCTTGGAGGCCCACGTGCTCTGTATCCATAGACGGCTACAATCTTCTTAGAAAAGACAGGGTCGGAAGGCGCTCGGGCGGTGTCGCGCTATATGTGCACAGGTCTATTGGATGCAGGCTGATCTATGCCTCCGATAAAAACTATACCGGGAGACCGGAGTTCTTGCTGGCGGAGCTCCTTGTTGGCGACTCAAAGATAATGTGCGTCGTTGTGTATGCGCCGGAGGCTGGATTCTGGTCGGACGTCGAGGATGCTGTGTTGCACTGCAGACTGAGGTTTGACTACATGGTGCTCCTTGGTGATCTAAACATCAACTGGACAAGCCTCGATAGACATTGTCGTGACCTGCAGGAGTCCTTGGTGACGTGTGGACTACGGAGACTCGATTTTTCGCCAACTTTCCATCGTGGAGACTCGCACACCAGCATTGACTATATATGTGTTAGCGACGTGTCGAGAGTGATCGATTTCGACCAGTTCTCAACTGTTGGCCTCTCGGAGCATGACTTTCTGAGGGTGCGATTGCAGTTTGAGGTTGGTAATGGCCGACGCACCGTTCTTGCGCGTCGCTGCTTCAAGAACTTTGATGGGGCCCGCTTTTACCAGGACTTGGCCGCTTGTGACTGGGACCAGCTGCTGCGGCTTCAGTCTATTGATGATAAGGTGGAATATTTCACGGGCACGATAAATGCGTTGTACGATAGGCACGCACCCTACAGGACATTCAGGCCACGTAAACATGCTAGACCTTGGTACACGCCTGAGCTGCGTCGCCTGAAGGCGTCGCGCGATAAGGCCTGGAGGAGCTTCCGAAGATCTGGAGGACTGCAGGAGCGTCAGCGGTACAAGACCCTCCGTAATCGCTTCAAGACGGCTGTGCGGGATGCCATGCGCACCTATTATCGTGCCGAGATAGAGGGATGTTCGAGCGTCGCTGAGAGGTGGCGAACATTGCGACGTCTTGGACTTGGCTCTGGGCCGCGATCGGCTGCGGGACTCCCGGTCAGCGTCGATGAGCTGAATGAGTGCTTTGTGGGTTCACCGGACGCTCGTGCTGTGGTTGGTGTGCGGCCGGTGAGTCATGATGTGCCCTACGAGAGGTTCGACTTCAGATACGTCGAGCCGGCTGAAGTGGTGGACGCTATTGCGCGAACCCGAACAGACGCCCGTGGAACTGACGGAATCCCTGTAAGCTACCTTCGTGACTGCCTGATTGTCGTCCTTCCGGTTCTGCTGCACATATTTGACTGTTCGCTGCAGACGGGGGTCTTCCCGACCGCCTGGAAGTCGGCCCTCGTCAGACCTGTCCCCAAGATTGGACTTCCCCGCGCCGCCGCAGATTTCAGGCCGATAAGTCTGCTCTGCGCGGTGTCGAAGGTGTTTGAGCGCATTGTGTATTTGCAGATAAGGGAGTACGTGGACAGGAACAGGCTCATGGATGTGTATCAGTCCGGATTCAGAAGAGGACACAGCACTCAGACGGCGCTTCTTCGTGTGATGGACGATGTCCGGGCTGCCGTGGATGTGGGCCACGTCACGCTTCTCGTTGCGGTCGATCTGTCGAAGGCCTTTGATATGGTCGACTTCGATGTGTTGATCGACAGACTTGCAGCCCTTGGATGGTCGAGCATGGCGTGCGACTGGACCCGCTCCTACCTGACTGGACGTACGCAGCGTGTTGTGGGGGATGATGGAACTGTCTCTGCGTCCCTCGACAGGACTTCTGGGGTACCGCAGGGGAGTGTCCTCGGGCCTCTCTTGTACGCCCTGTATGCCAACGGCGCCCCGCGGTCCCTCGTACACTGTCGACACCATGTGTACGCTGATGACACTACCATCTATCTGCATGGACCCTTTGCGAGAGCACAGGAGCTTGTTCGGATGGTCTCGGAGGACCTGGGACGCTTTGCGGCTTGGGCCCGTGCCTCACGACTTGCCATTAACTCTGGGAAGACGCGGGCCATCTGGCTTGGTAGTCGATATTTCACCAACAAGCTGGCCAACGCTGATATCTCGCCCCCCAGCATTGAGGACGAGCCGATACAGGTGGTGGACAGACTGAGGCTGCTTGGCGTGACGCTCGACTGTGCGTTGACGTGGCGGTGGCACGTTGCGGCGGCCACTGGTAGGGCCTTTGCAGCGTTGTCGCGCTTGAGGGGGTGCGGAGATTTCCTTGCACCGGATATCAGGAGAATGCTCGTGAAGGCCCTGGTCTTTCCCCACTTTGATTATTGCTCGGCATTATTTCTGGACATGCCCGAAGAGCAGATGGACAGGATGTCCAGATGCATGAATGCTGCAGTGCTTTTATATCCATTACTTTAGCGTCTCGAACGAAATAATTTTTTTCTTCTGCTCTTCTTGCTGGCGTTGCACGAGAATGTTTATCTTGTACAAGTGTATGTGACTTGGACTAAGCCAAACAAAAGAGAATCGGTTCTCTTCTTCTTTTTTTTTTTTTTACTTTTTACTTACGTGCCTTCGCAGTAGAAATAAGAAGAACCAGGTCAGACGTGAGTAAATACTCTCATACTTTATGTGTACCTACATAATACAAAGAGAGACGTCAGTTCGTTGAAAGCTGCACTTATGTGCGCGAGAGCAAATTACATTAGAAAAATCGGAAAGGAGCCATAGTATAGTAGAGAAGGATGAGGTGCGCAGCAGCTGCAGCACGTGGACCAAACGAGCTGCGATAAAAAATAAATACACATAACCCGCCGACGAACGCGTGCGTGAACTTTATTGTTTTCTTCGCAGGTACTCGTGTCCGGCCGGCGAGGAGTGCGTGCTGAATCGCGAGGAGGGATGTCCGGACTTTTTGTGCGCCTCGAAACCCGAGTGCCGCCAGCGACGGACCTTCAAGAGTCCCTGCTCGCTGGGCTCGCCGTTGAGCGACGACAAAGGCAACGCCGTGACCTGCGACTCGTCGTCGGCTGCCGGCAATAAAACTTGTCCCGAGCAGCACGTCTGCGTGCCCGTGCCCGAGGCCGACCAATCCGTCTGCTGCTCGGCTCCTCAGCCAGAGATCGAAAAAGTTCCAACGAGTGAGTCTTTTGATCGTTTTTTTTTCCTCTTGTGTGTGTGTGTTTTGTTTTTTCCTTTGCCCTTTTCTCCTCTTTCTTTCTTTTTTTTTTGTTTTGTTTCACGAAAAAACTTTTTTTGTTTAAACAGCACGAGTTTCGACTAACTTTAGCCTCTTTAAAAATTCATAAATGCACAGCTCGCAGCCATTATACCCGTTACCAAGGCTATAAATATAATACCTTATGTGCGCTTTATCCTGGTTGAGGGTTTATATTAGTGCTTTTGTCATATATACGATATAATATCAAACACTTTGCAAGCCCTTCTCTCTCTCTCTCGCTCCCAGTGGCGTTGAATATAAGTGGCACATTTTAACTCCGGAGCTCGCGAGCTTGATACTTTAATCTCGCAGCACTTGATGGAAAAACCGATGTTCGCGTATATATTTTTCTATACAATATATATATTCCGTCTCCGCACGCGACTATTTTTCACTTTACATTCACACGTGTGAGTGGATGAAGGATTCTTTCTTTTTTTCATAATGATAATAATTTTGCACTCCGGGATAAGCTAGACTCTCCTCGGTTAGACCGCACTTGTACTAGAGTATAACACAATTAGAAACGCCAAGTGGTACGCTAGCGCGACATACGTGAATTAGAACGCATAAAAGTGTGTGTGTGCGCGCGAGGGTGAAGTATATGTGCACGTGTATATGTATAATAAACGAACAATGAGAGGCTAATTAGCGTCTTGCAGACTCTCTTTCTCTCTCTCTTCACGAACAATAAAATAAAGCAGCTACCACATGCTATATTATTTACGTCTTTCTTCTCTTCTGTCGCGCTCTTTTTTTCCTCGTGGACTTATGTCTCTCTGTTTTTCTGCGCTCGCAGTGTGCGAGTACCTGCGAGATTTCGGCGAGCGCATGGAGGGCACGCGCGAGGGCATGAGCCTGGCTCTGGAGGCGCCGCAATGCGACGAGGAGGGCGCCTACAAGCCGTTGCAGTGCCAACCGGGCGCGGGCAATTGTTCCTGCGTCGACGAGTGGGGCGTCGTGCTGAAGCGAGACGTCGAGGCGCAGTCCGACACCGATTGCGGCGAGGTGCGCGATCTGCTCAGCCTCTGCGGCACCTTCAACTGCAACGCCACCTGTCCTTACGGTTTCGAGCTTGGTGAGTTTCTATAGCTATTATTTTTTAACAAAATTTCTACCTGGGCTATGTATGCTGTAATTATCCTGTAAAATGCCCGAGTAAACAAGATTTAATGCGAAACGCTCGTCGCAGTCGCACCGAGTCCACGTGCACGTGGCCCGTTAAAAGCGGAGCATGACTCGGATTATTAAAAGTATTTCTCATTAAAGCCCATTGCAGTTCTTTGATGTTACTCGCGGCATTTGCTTCCAGCGGATCTTAAAATGAAAAGCACGAGAGGCGAATTTTATGCGTAATATATCTGCTCGGGGATAATCTTCCATAAAATTTACGCGCGACACGTTTATAGTGCCCCTGCGTTGCCTGTCTTAATTAAATGTCACTTAAAGTGATGTGCCAAAAGTATATCGAACGATGTAGTGCATGCGCTGCAGCCACTTCGATCGTTTTCTTTTAAACTTCATCTCGGCCGGGCTTTACCGAAGTAAGGCGAACTATAGCCAAATCTTAAAATGCATACGTGTATCGATAATCGATCGATCACCCACAGACGCCGCTGGATGTCGTCAATGTCGCTGTCGCGACCCGTGCCAGGAGGTGAGGTGCGGGCCGAGCGAGGCCTGCAGCTTGGTCGACGTGAACTGCGGCGCGGGTCAGTACTGCCCGTCGGTGCCGGCCTGCCTGGCCACGAAAGCCGGCCAATGCCCCTATCTCGTGCCGAGCTCGTCGAGCTGCGAGCTGCAGTGCAGCAACGACCAGGAGTGCTCCGGCGGCGACAAGTGCTGCTCCACCGGTGAGTTTCTTTTCTTTTTCTCCTCTTCTTTACTACTACTACTACTACTACTACTACCAGCTCGGAGGGCCTTTTTTCGAGCGTGAAATGGAAAAACTAGGCCATTATTCTGTGCTGCTGCTGCTGCTGCTGCTGTTTGTCTGGAGATTCTCAGGGCTTTATACTTTTGCATCGTTGTTATTATGCTTCGGTTCGCACGTGACTGCCGTACGAAAAATAATTCGAAGCCCTTTGAAGTTTCGCCTATACTGGTTGGGCACTCGCGTATATACAAGTTTGCAAACGCAAATGTAGAGCGTAAAAATTGCTCGTTCGTAATTTAATCCGAGGCGCGATTTTAAAACTGCCAAGAGTCACTCGCGTTCGCAGCTTATAACTTCTACCTTTTACTGCTACGCGTGTAAGTTTTTCCGTAAATATTTAAGCAAGCCGGTTAAAGTCCTCTGCGCGTGCTCGATCCTGCCGACGCTCGGCAGCTGCAAAATTTCCAAGTGCCACACGCATGCTTCAGGCCTAAAAACTAGATTTCAAAAGTTTATCCGCGGCGTTCGTGCAGTCGGGCACCGGCAGAAGCTCCGCGAGAGAATTTCTCAACTCGCACATATGCGCGTACAACTTTGGCAATCGCCTCGTTAGCGCTATCCATCACTCACTCGTTACAACTCGCGCGAAATATATAATGAAATGTGCATAGCCGCAGGTATCAACGCGGATGGATTTTTTGTGTTTGCGCGTAACAGTGGCATTCAGAAGCGATTAAACACGATTTTGCGAAGCCAAACGTTGTTATTCGTGTATTCGTCGGGACGAGCGCGTGACGAGCATCGAGCATCCGTAAAATATAAAACAAAAACATATATATAGCACGCGTCGCCGGCTGGCTCGCGGAGAAATAATTGAACGAATGGCGTTGGAACTCGCTCGCGCGCATACGTACATACATAAGTCTAATAAGCTTCATCAAAAGCTCGTATCATTGCTGCCGCTTTGCCAATGTGTGTGTGCTGCATATACGAGCGCGCGTGTGTGTGTACCGGTGGAATACAATATAGAATATACGCGTAGCGTACCGCGCATCTGGCTCTCACTCTCCCACTTGCAGCGTTCGAATATGCGCGCTCGTGCTACGGTTTCGAATTTAATTAGAAGCTTGTTACGACGCTATATCTGGCTGCGCACATACTCGTGCTAATACTCTCTCTCTCTCTCTCTCTCTCTCGCTCTGCCTCTGCCTCTCTTGCCAGGAGGAGGATGCATCTAAACACGAGTAGCGAGCTTATTTGCCACCGCACACTGGGAGGCACGCGAGGTTTGTTGTTTTGATCTCGTTCGCGAAATTAGCTGCCGTACGAGTAGGTAGGTACGAATCGACGCCCGGCGAGGGAGTTCACCTGGGCGCAGCTTGTGCCACGTACCTATATATATAAATTGCCGTGTTTCGCAGCGCTCGCAGCCGATATATTGCCGCGTATCGACTCTCTCTCGCTCTCTTCTTATTAGTATGCCGAGCTCGATATTACCCAAACTGCCACTGCGTGAAAAGCTTACTCGATTCTTCTCGGCCGGGGGTGCGCGGCGGCCTGTCTTGATTGGCCAAGTTTCATTAGAGCTGAGGTTGTGCTTTCGCGCCGAATATATATGATACTCGCCTTCGCTCCCTTCCTCCTCCATTCTCTCCTCCTTCCCTTCCCTCTGCGGCTATCGGAGAAATTAGACGTTGAATATAGATTGCAATATTAAAGCGGAGATCGTTTTCTCTCTCTCTTCCGAGCTTATATATAGATATGCGCGACAAAAATTGCAAGACGTCCTCTGAGGGAGAGAGCGAGCGAGCTTCCTGAGTAGTAATTGAGCTTCGTTTTACATCGGTGCGGTAAAAAAAAAAGTTTCGAATGTGATGTAAGGAAAAAAAAGCACTCGTTGCAAGCTTGTAGAAAAGAGCTTACGGCAAAATTTTTTTCGAAAATTTAAGCTACTAGGTGAATTCCTTAAGCGTAGAACTCTCCACGTAATTCAATTAAGCCCAGCTACCCAAGATTAAAGGGCTTTTATTCTCTCCTTTCTCTCTCTCGCTTCTTCTCTCGAAGATTTCGAGCGCGCAAGACTTTTCTGCTTTTGCACTCGCGCGTTGACATAATTGAATTCGAAAAAGAGAGGCCACGGCTCTGTACGCGCCTGACGTACCTACTCTGTGCAGCTTTTCTCCGCGGAGTTGTTATTACGATGCCAAGACGCTTTGTCTTATACATATAGACGCGTATTCGACGTGCTCGTGAGTAATGGGTATGTATATAAAAGCCCGTAAAAAGCTCCGGACTCGCTGTATATGAGTTTTTATCGCATGAGTGTCAATCTTATTAAGATGTGTTCAAATTCTGTCGCGCGTCACACTCGATAGTCGTGAAAAACTGTCGTCTTATGTACATATACATCGGGGTATAACATGCTATATACATAGAGCTAGAAGGCAGCGCCTCGGCAGCTCCACGCCAACCTATAAATATATAGCACACGTATGTATTTCTCGAGGAGCTATTTCTCGAGGATACAAATCGGATTTACACGTCGCGTCGCGCTAGACATGCACAACGAATTTCTTTGGCGCGTATACGTATATATAGCATATACCAGACTAAGGGGGAGAAAGAGAGTGAGAGAGAGAGAGAGAGAGACATGCATCAGATACGCTATATACACGTATAACGTAGGTAAGTAATATGGCAGGAATTTATGTAGGCGATGCATTTTAACGCGAACCGTATTACAGAGAAATAAAGTGCAATGAACAAACTTTCACGGGCTCTTCCCGAATGACTCTCAGGCCAACTGTGATGTATAACAGCCCTTCAGCGATGTATAGTAACTATATACTCGGGTCTGCGTATACGTGCGCGCGTGTATTGCATGGTATAGATATATAAAGCGCGTGAATTTACAGTTTTTCCCCCCGTGCGCAAAAGTTCAACGATCGGACTTTCACGAAGTCCTTTTAGCATCCATTTTTTATCGAGCAGTAGCAGCAGCAGCTGCAGCGGCGGCAGCAGCGGCAGGACACCAAATTGTTCGCAGATAAAACTTTTCTCTTTCTCCGTCGATTTATCAAGGTTGCGGCACTCAGTGTATATCACCGGTGATGGCCACGGCCTGTCAGCACGCGCGCACCGTGGCCGAGCACTCGGCCCGCGAGTCCGGCGAGCCCGCGCGGATGACGTACATACCGAGGTGCGACCCGGTTCAGGGCCACTTCGAGCCGGTCCAGTGCCACGCGGGCATGTGCTGGTGCGTCGACGCCGAGGGACGCGAGCAGCAGGGCACGCGAGTCGTCGAGGGTCTGCTGCCGCGCTGCGGAGCCCCCGAGCGCTGCCCCGAGATCGACTGCCAGCTGCAGTGCCACGACGGTCTGGAGCTCGACACCGCGACCGGATGCCCGGTCTGCGCCTGCCGAGATCCCTGCAAGAGCGTCACCTGTCGAGGAGAGAACGAGCAGTGCAGGTAATGTCACCAATTGTTTTTTTTATCTTTTTATTTTCATCGTAGCGAATAAGAGAAAACAAACGAGCGTAGAAGGAAAATAAAAAAAGACAGCAACTTCCGTCGGAAAGGTATGTGGGTCGCGTTGTAATAATGTTATTGAGTTTGTGCATGCTTAGCTTAACAAGCTCATTAGATGGATACGCTTGGGTTTAACGTTGCGCATTTGTAATTTCAAGGGATATTAGGGGTGGCTAGTGGATGAGGTCAGAATTAGGTCAGACGCGCGCGCTCGAGCACTGCGCGCTTCATTGATCATCAAGATGCTCCATTTGGCAAATGACGTTGGTCCCTTTGAAAGTTTTCCTCCAAAGGAAACATAAACAAAAATTCGCACAAACGCGCGCGCACACACACGCTCTCTCCTCTTTTTTTATACGATCATAATAACATTTTGTCTCAAAATTACTGTGTGTAGCTGCAAACGCGTGTGTGTGCGACTGTGAAAACTTTTACAAATATTGAGTCAAACGTACGGTATAGAGAGAGAGACTTGCGCGTATGCTATCGGAAATATTTTTCTTATGTATAAAAGTACTTACGAGCTGTCGAAATGTTTTGAAAGCTGCCTCGATGGCCTAGTTTCTCTCCGCAACAATAATAATAATAAAGAAAAGATGTATTTCGATTTTTTGATCGATATTAAATATTTCCCACGTATAAGGTATATGCACCTACGCGCTTGAAACAAAAAGGAAATAGATTGAAAATTTGCTCATACTTTGAAGCAAGTTGAACGGAAAAGAAAATTGCCTTCTCGAAATGGGAGGTTGAGTTTGAATTTTTCAAGGAGGAGTAGATTTAACAATTATAAAACTATCGATTTTGTTAATACACTGCAAAGTATTCTTAAGCGATCTTCACTTAGTTCGAAAAAGAAGTCCGATTATATCAGAAGAATAAGTTTTTGCAAAAACTTGACTGTAAATTTTCCAAAACTCTATCTCGCGAGCAAAGATTTCATTTTAACGCTTTCTCACTTTTTCCTCTTTTGCGACAGAATGGTGGAAGTGGCCTGCAGCGCACCACCCTGTCCACCGGTGCCGGTCTGTCTGCCGAAAAAGGACAATCCGTGCCCCGACGGCTCGCCTCTGCTGGTCGAGGACGGCAGCGTAGCCACGTGCGGTCCGCACGGTCAGAACTGCCCGTCGACGCACAAGTGCGAGCTGTCGCCTCTCGACGAGTACGCGGTCTGCTGCCCGAAACCTCGGGACGTCTGCTTCGAAGCGGTGCGCAAAGTGCCCTGCCCCACGGAGTCGACCACGATCACCACTACCGCCAGCACTACTGGCCAGAACGTGACGGCCGAGCCCGAGGAGGAGCACTGGTACTTTGACGCCGAGCGCAACGAGTGCCGCAAAAAACGGGACTGTAGCACGACGGGTTACAACGACTTCTCGAGCAAGCTTGTCTGCGACACCGTCTGTCCGGTGCTGTCGCCCTGCGAGAGGCTCAGAGAGAGAAATCTCAAGACAGCTCAGAAATACAAGCAGCCGTCCTTTATGCCGAGGTGAGTTTTTTTATTTGCGAATTTTCCCTGTCTTACGGCAGGATTAAAAAATCTTGGCAGAGAGAGAGAGAGAGAGATCAACATTTTGCTTTTTGCACTGCCGCTACGCTCGAACAAATCCAACAGCGCGAAATGTAAATATAATCCGCAGCACTTCACATTTTCGAGCTGGCGACTTTTTACACATTAAAATCTTCCATTTCAGCTTCATCATTAAACTCGACTTACATATCGCACGCGAAGTTTAATTATTCAGAAAAAAATAATAATAATAATAAATCCACACCACCGTTGTTTAAAAAAGATTTACTGTTGATAAACTCCTCCCGACTGTCGATGTAAATTATCGAGGTAATTTATTTCGACATTTTACATCTCTAGTAAAAGCATAATCCCACTGTTAATCACCTGCGCTCACTGATCCCCCGGTGGCTCGGTCGAAGCTCATCAAACTTTGCGCGCGGGGGTGTCGACTTTTCGCTCCATTAGTAGCAAAAAGTCATTTTATAACGGCATTAATACATCAAAGGCTCGGTTGGCAGAAGTAATAAGCCATTCGCCCGACTACAACGCTAGCTGCTGCACTTTATGCCTCGGAAGTTTTGATTAAAGCGCCTCATAACAGATGGCTGTAATATTTGTTTAGCAACTACTAATTATTATTGTATACCATAATAATCCGCGCACAATGTATATTCGGCGCAAAGTCCGCATTTGCTTTTTGGTATCTGCTCGCTGGGAATTATTCTATATAGCGTTCACCCCTAGGCTAATGGCGCCGAATAATAATGAGCCCTGCGCTAACGAGTTTGCACGAGTACAAAAACGAAATTAAATATCTTTTCCAGGTGTAATCCGGACACGGGCGCTTGGGAGCCGGTACAATGCCTGGAACACGTCGGCGTCTGCTGGTGCGTGAACAAGAAGGGCGAGCCGATCAAGGGCTCGATGACCCGCGATCTCGCCGAGCCCAAGTGCAGCTACCGTCAGGCTCGCCGCGGTCGTCTGGGGGGAGACGCCGCCAACTCGGCCACGACGGAGGTCGACACGGAGATCAAGGCCTACATGGAGAACGCCTTCGTGGGTCTGGTGTCGGAGGGCCGTGAGATCAACAAGGTCCTGGTGAGCCGCTGCCAGGCGATGCACGAGCGGGGCTTTGTGCCGGCCATGTGCGACAAGTACGGGCGCTTCGAGCCGACCCAGTGCGCGGCCGAGACCTGCTGGTGCGTCGACGAGGCCGGCAACCAGCTCGTGGGCTCCGAGCCCTTCATCAAGGGCACCAACATTTGCCGTGAGTTTACACATATCTCGCGTACTTACACATGCTCTCTCTCGCGCGCAGGCCGTTTTGATTAATGCGCGGATGACATTACACTGCAGATTTCGGATGTATCATATCTGTATGTATGCGCGCGGCAACGAGGGCTCGCTTAAACGATGATGAATAGCAGATTAGGGAGATGTATCGCAGCTGGCCGGGCTTTTATGATTGTGCATTGTGTCACGGGGATAAGAGATGCCGTGGAACGATATAGGCTTGACGCGTTTGCTCGAGTGAAATTTGCACGTTTCCGTTACTTTGCTCTGCGCTTATTATCATACGCGCGCATATTTTTTTACGAATTAAAATCGCCAGAGAGTCGTAGGTACTTTTTACTCGACGAATCCTTTCAATTTATTTCGGTCGCAGTTTACTTTTTCACATCTCCCTTTTGCCGTTCGTTATATTAATCATACGCCATTAACGCGATGCACGTGCCGCAAACTCGACGTGCAGCTTTTTTTTCCTTTTTCGGGGATACTTTTATCGGTCGACGCGCATACGGCCATTACGGCGAATGGAATTATTTTACTTCTCGCGCAAACGAGTATAATTTTTTCCCCGCTTTTACAGTTCCCACCCCGGTGGAGGCCGTCGAGGTAACTCTGCATTTCCCGGGCAGCTTCCTGCCCGTCGAGGACGAGCCCCTGTTCGCCAAGGAGGCGGTGGACTTTTTGCAGGACCTCGGGGCTCGGCTGAAGGACGGCGTGCAAGTGGAGATCAGCCAGGAGTCGATAGTCTTGGCCTTCGAGGTCGTCGGGCCCAACAAGGTCGACATCGCGTTCCACCTCGAGGAGCTGACGCGCATGCAGAAGCTCAGCGTGCTCGGCTACTTGGCCGACGCCACGACGTCGCGTTTCACGCATCGAGTGACGTCGGGCACGGCCTCGAACAGTCGCATTATCGCCCTGGAGCAGAGAGAGATATTGACGGAATTGGACGCGCCGATGTTCCAGACGGCCACGGTCGTATTGGCGGTCGGCAGTGCTTTCGTTATCAGCAGTTTGCTCATTTTGCTGATGCTTTATCGCAAAAAGGTGAGTCGTTACCGCATGACATCCCTCCCCATTCCTTTCATCCTTTGTTTCGAATGTTTCGTTTACTCATCGCCGCCGTCCGTTCAATTTGCTCTCCTTTTGTTGCAGATGAAACTGAAGAGGAACGTCGAGGCGCTGGATCAGCGCTTTTTGGCTTACAACAGCCAGCCGGTTTACGTGATATCGGGCATGGAGACGGGCAGCAGCAGTAACGTTAGCACCTGTAGTAATAGTAGTTGTAGTATTATCAATAGCGAAAAGGAGAAGGAAGCGATCGGCTGCTCGGCGGACAGCCACATCGCTTCGAGAACAATCGAGAGCGTCGGCTGAGCCTCTCGCTAATCACGAGGGCTTTTTAATTCACAAGCGAATGAGCGGGATAGAGAAGCCGAGTCAACTTTCAATTTCCGTGAATTTTTCATTCTCTTTCTCTCTCAACGGCGACCGCGTATATATAATATAGCGAGTATAAGCACATCACCGTAGAGGCAATCTATTAACCGTCTTGTGATCCGCTCAGCATGTTCATCCTCATCTATATTATATCCAAAAGTAACAAAATATTCTAGATGAAAAAAAAAGGAACAGGAAAAATCAACCACGAAGATACTTTCGACGCTCTCTATCGATTGTCCTCGTATCGAATCTTCTCTTATTTCCCGTATAAAAATACTCGAGCCCTGCAATTTGAGTGCTACCACGCTTATGCGCGCTCTTTCACGCGAGTTTCATCAACGTATCCTTTTATTTTTCGCTTGTTTTCGCGACCATCATCCGCGAACGATGCATGCGAATCGCTGTGTGTTGACTCGCGCGAGAGAACCGCAACGAGCGCGGATAAATTATGTACATTCAATCGCCCGTCGTGCGCATACGTCAAGTATTAAATGAATAAATAATTGTCTCGCGAAATACTTTTTCGTATCTCACTTCATAAGCTATTTATAACTGTAGTACGCATCGAGGGGCAAATATCGAACACGAGTCGTCGACGAGGCGAGAAAAGATTTTTACAAAAAAAAAAAAAATAATGATAATAATCGTTTTCGAATCGCCGGCGACTCCTTTACATGTGTAATAATATTAAAATAAAATAATCATTTTGGTGAAAAGCTAGGAAAAAAGCAAGTTGCGTTCGACGCGTTGCTCGTGAACGCGTTTTCGAACGCCACTTGTCTTTTTTTCGATATCTGGGGAATGTGTGTATATATTATCGATTATAGGATTACTTGTATATGTATTCGGCACGTCATTAGAATTATAACCCGATTTAGAACTATATCTTTACTTCGCGCTTATCGTACACGCAGAGACTGAAAAATGATGTATCGATGTAAGTTTTCAAATGGAGCGGAGAGATTCGATTCTCTATAGCAAACTTTATCGTCGTGTATCGAAGTCATTGTAATGATTTTTTTGATCGATTGAATTTTTATATATTATTTGTTTGAAAATATCATGTATCAAATTGCATTGTAATAAAATGTCAAAAAAAAAGTATATAAAAAATGTCGAGATTTGATACAATACATTATATCATAACGTACCAAATAAAAACTTTACGTTATTTGTACACGATTGCGTATAATTCACATTTTCAACCCCTTTCCCAGTTAAAGCATGAATTATCGCCTCGCAAAACATTAAAGCATAACAGTAGCCTTTTTTCGCAGCTCTTGAGCATCGAGCAATAATAAAGTACATCGTTATGAGATAGCGGGTGCGCGCATATAATCAAGTCGTAAAGCAGCGAGAAGGAAAAAGACTTTTTATGAGGTGAAACGTAAATACAAAAATAAATAAGTGGCGCAGACAAGAAAAAGAAAGACAAAGAGCGCAAAGGAAGAAAAGAACCAGGAGGAGGAGGAAAAGGAGGAACGCAGGCAAAAGGAAGAGTCGACGCACAGATGGCACAATTATAACGAGGCCAATCGTCGTAACGTTGGGTCAGTGCGTGCGCAAATCGAGGCAAATGACGCGTCGAACGCACGTATAGACTTTCTTTCGTCCTTCTTCCGCTTGTTTATTACGATTTCGATGACGCGCGAACGTGTAACGCAACTCGATCGTGTACCTTATACAGTTATACGTTGGGCTTACGCGTACTTACATTGGCCAGCGATCTAATGACTCCGATAGTATTGATAATCGTTGGGTCGCGCGCGCGTGAACGAGTATTAAAAAAAATAAGTTCACAGTACACGAAGCGCATAAGGAGGCATCGGCGCGGCATGTCACGCGCACTGCATTATATACACTCGAGAAAGTTAGCGAAAGTAATAATAAGCGGGTCAATTTTGCCCGAGTATAGCGACCGAGAGCGCGAGCCACGAATGAGTAATAGAATTTATATAATCGTCGTGTACGCACGCACAGCGAAATTTATTAATTTCCACGATTGATTAATTGACTCGATTGGAAAGTTTATCTTTTAACGAGTGGCGTTTATCGGGGCGAATAAAAATTTCATTCAAAGCATCCCTCGATCTCGTTTGTTATTGCAAAGCACAAACTATGCTGAGCGGCGCAGTTCGAATGAATTTTTAATGAAAAAGTTTATCAAACGATTATTTGCATTAGCTGTGCAGGTCGGAGGCGCGCACAGCATTAACAAGCCGCTATAAACGAGCAAAATAATTGAACTTGGCTCATTGAAACGCGCGTACGGCTGGTGGATAGAGCTTTTCAATAGCGCTCGAGCTTTTTGAGATAAATAAATTAAGCCGCGCGCGCGCGCGTTGTAAAGACTATACGCGGGAGAGAGGCTGCGCGTATGCTTCGTGCAACTTGTAACACGCTGCACTTTGTACCGTACTAGTTACTACATCAGCTGAGTAGCGCGAGCGAACACGTGCAGTCCCGGTCGCCCGGGGCAACGCTTTTTACAAACAAAAAGCTCCCTCTGCCGCGTTGTACGTAATGCCGCATTGACGCGTGCGGGGTTGAGTGCCGAGGGAGGGTGGGGAGGAAAGGGGGGGCGGGGAGGCTTGGCGTAATTCAGCATAATATTTATACTCATGCCACTTTACGCACCTCGAGTGCGAAAGTAACCACGACAAAAGAATAAGCGCAGAGCTGCTGGGTGTAAAAATAAGAAGGTGCAAAATTGGATCTGTCGTGTAGCGAGTGAGGAGTCGCGCTCCGTGCGCGACTCTGGCCGAACGTTCGTCGATTCGATGGGGCATCGATTCAATGGATAATCGAGGCTATTGAGGCTCATCATCGGTGAGTGCGAGTGTTTGGAAAAATCGTCGCCCACCTACGAAGATGACGCGATGCTGCAAATGCGCTCTCAATCTAAAGAGCTCAGGTAACGGTGTACAGTCTCATTTATGCACACACGCACACACACAGCAGCAGATGCATGATAAACATAAAACGGGCGCGCTCGCGCGAATACGGCGTGTCATTATTATCATTATTATCGTCGTCAGCGAGAGAGGATATAACCCTAAAAATTGAAAGCCAACGTCGCGAGCGTCGTCGTAATTGCAGCCCGAGCATTATAGTCGGCTGCGCGACAGGCTCGCGACACCGTTTGTACGAACCCGTGGGCCGTCTCTATATGCTGTGTGCAGCATGCAAAAGCGTCTTTTTTCTCTTTCTTGCTGCTTGGCGCGTGAACGGCGCTAAAGGTGCACAGTTGACACAATTTTTTTCCCCTTACGCCGTATACCGAGACCGCCGAGTGAAAGAGACGCGTAATACACACAGTGAACGCGCTTGCAAAGGCTATACATATATATAGCGCGTAAAGCCTCTTTTTGTGCTCGTACGTAATAACTTCATTTTTATCAATTGCTCGATTTATACCCTACTTAAGCCGATGTCTTCATTCTCTTTCAATTAGAGTCCCATCTCGCACAAAGGCAAGAATTTGACGCTTTGATCGGCGTGCCATAGACACGCGATCGATGAATTGATTAATTTATCGAATTCGGCCACGCGGTCGAATTCAGCAATTAGTTGAATGAAAATTATCGAGCGACCTGTATGTATCATTGGCAGTTTACAATCAGACGGGTCAGAGCTACATCGAGCAGTTGGCGCTGCACAGATCCATGTGCGTGCACATGCAGCGCCTGATCCAGGCCAAGAGCGTGGTGAACGCGCGAAATCCGCGCTACCTGCAGGAGGTGCTGCGTCGACGCAGCTGCAGCAGCAGGCCGGCCTCGAGCCTCAGGACCCACGAGAGAGCTTGCAGCAACGAGAGATGCTGCTCGTCGGCCGTCGAAAAGATGCCCTGTGACGACGAGGGATGCGTAAGTTTCGCATATTCATATATTGATTGCGTCCTCTCTCTCTCGGCCGTTCGAGAGAAAATTGAATTTTCAACTTGGTCGCGCGCGCGCGCTGCCGGTAGCGGAAAAAGTTGCGCATGCAAAATGCATGTTATATATACGCTCTTTTGCGCTGCTACATAATTGAAATGGAATGATCCAAAGTTTTCGTAAGAGCGAGTCTCGAGTATATTAAGACGCAACGGCGACGACGAGTTGCGCGATCTCGGGGTTCGGCGCGACCTACTTTTTGGGCGCCTTTGACACACTCGCGCCTCGTCATCCATGTATATACATACATTCATGTATTCCGATTGAATTCGAAAAAGTTCATAACGACGAAAAAGCCCGCCAGGCTAATTTCGTCCTTTTTCTTCCTTGTTCGTTCGTTCCTCGCTCTACAGCAGCATCGAATCTTGCTCAACTCTCTTTGCCTACCCGCAGGACGTAATTAAAGTACACTGCCGCAACAAAAGTGCACCGCCGAGAGCGAGGGGTGGTAGTAGTAGCGCTGCAACGGAGAGCAAGTCACGACGCAGCTGCAGCGGCGAGCGTCTGCTGGTACCGGTGACTAATAACTGCGCGCCAAAGTGTCCCTGCACGCAGCAGCAGCAGCAGCAGAGCAACCGATCGAGAGGCAGCCACAATATCGCCTACCTGCCAAAGTCAAATGTTAAAAGTCGGCCAAAGGCCGAGGGCGGCTCCAGCCCGACGACGTCTCGCTACAATGAGCCGCAGCAGCAGCAGCAGCAGCAGCTACGCACAAAGGACTTTAATTATGAAAAGCGACATTTCAACAACGACAATTGCTGCAAGATGGATTATACCAGCGGACGTAGTACTACTGGATCGAGGTATACAATGCTCTCTCTCTTTCTAATTATTCAATATTCCAGTCCACGCGGCTGCTCTGCGATGCGAAGATTCGGGCCCGTCGCGACTCATTAACGACACTTGAGAAATACAAGCATAGGAAAGGGATAGAGAATCAAATGCCGCGAGCAAATATATTTTTTAATTAATCAATCGCTCGGGGGAGCAGAAAAATTTTACGGTGTCTTGGCCTTGCTCTCCTAGCCCATTGTCTTTGCTTGTTTGCCAAGTCTGTACAAAAAAAGACTCGATCAACTTCTTAATTAATGAGCGTGCGCAACAGCAAACGAGCGTGAACTTTTTTCTCGCGTACGAAACATCAAAAACTAGTGTCAAAGGCGGCCTTAGCTCTACGGACAAAAAAAGTAAACGAACAAAAAATAAAAAGAAGCAAACTCAACTCGTGCGAAATTGCATCTTAGCTCTCGTTCGAAAAAGGAAAAAGAAAGAAAAGAGGCAAATACAGAAAGCTTTGGGTTGGTTAGTCAGCTGAGGGAGTGGGTAGGTAGGTAGGTAGCTTCTTTTACGAAGAAACTTCAATAACGCTCTCGACTCTCATAATTCCATTAAAACTCGTGAGGCAGAAGCGGCGGCAGCAGCAGCAGTAGCAGCAACGCAGTGCGCACAGTGTCAGTAAGCATTCGAGAGAGATAGAGACGAGCTTGCAACCGCTTAAAATGCAAAGCTCCCGCGTCTATATAGTCGATTGTCCTCTCAGTTTTCGCGCGTACCGACTTGATTCTCAAATAAAGAGACGCTTATACTTATATATACGTATATAGACAGGGTCGCTCCCGATGCCCCCGGCTAGAGAGGAGCTTGGCTGCACTTTCGAACGTGTTTTTAATTTGATTATCTGATACAGCAAAGCCTGGAGGCAGCAGCAGCAGCAGCAGCATCAACAGAAATTGTGTCTTTGTCGAAAATGTAGCGGTGGTAACGGAGCCCGAAGAGGCCGCGAGAGGCGGCGCCGGCAACCGGACGACCACCGCGAGCTCGTCAACGAAGAGCAAGAGCGAACTTTGCGCAAGTTGCTGGAGCGCGAGGAGGAGGAGTCCTGCTACGCCAAGTTCGTTTACGACATTACGCAAGAAATCGTCCAGAACGGACTCTACTCGGACCAAGAGCTCAAGCAAGTTTTCGCCCGACATCTCGAGCGAGGCATGGCTCTGCAACTCGATCGGGTAAGAGACAATGCGCGGACAACAACAAAAAAGAAAAAAGCTTCGAGCCATTGAATCGCGGAAAAATAAACGACGATTTATCCAGCCGTCAGCGGCAGATGTGGTTGATTTTTTTGTGCACTAATTGTCGCGCTTACTCGGTGATACATCGGTTAAGATTTCGCCGCTGCGGGTTCGCATTTAATAGCAATCTACGGTTCGCGATAACAATCAGCAGTACGGACGACGTCGAGAGCAGCAGAGGTAACTGCAGCGGCCGAGTAAATACCGTGTTCAATTGTTCGCGCTTGATTCCTCCGCACATATATATACGTATAAAACGTACGCATATGCAAACGTACCCGTACCTACCACCACTACCCTCGGAAGCTCCGCGCAGTTAAATGAACCAACACGTTATACGGTCACGTGTATGCAGCCGCTCCTGGCGCTACTCCGCTCGCGAAGCTTTAATTAAACATCGATAATTATAAGCATTGACTAGGCGTGAGCGAGCACGTCCATAGTATTTTATGAACAATATATCGTATTACACGCTTCGACGTTAATTGGACGATCTCTCTCTGGGCGCGAGATTAATTGCGAGTATGTTGGCGCTCGTGACCGCCGCGCTGCAAAACTGCAAATTAAAATATTAGCGCTACATGTACGTGTGTTCTTTGTATCGCAGAGGCGCATGCTGTACGAGATTTACCAGCTGAAAATATCGCTGCATATGTCTGACTCGGAAGAAGGTAGCAAAGAGGCTGACCTGGACGAGAACGAGGCCGAGGAAGAGGAGGAGTTGGAGGAGGAAGACGACGCCGAGGTGTTCGCCATGAAGTTCGACCAGCGAGGCAGCACCGTGCCGAAACCACCGACGCCGCCGAGACATCTCAGCGACGCGGACGACGTCGTCAAGAAGATCGAGTCGCTGCGGCGGTCGGCCTCGCCGCGCCCGACGATCCACGACAACAGCAACGCAACTCACGGAGGCCGGAAAAGCGTCACGTTGGTCGACGCCAATCCCGAGCTATTCGTCACCGAGAAGGACGTGCTCGAGAGCTTAGCCGAGAACGACGTCAGTCCCGAGCGAATTCAAAGCATATACAGAAATCTATTTCAGCGCAGTAAGAACTTGTCACCACCTCCTGCCAACGAGGCAGCAGCAGCAGCAGCGGTAAGTTGACGTTCGCACGTGTATCTGCCTCGCGGATTGATTTACTCGCGCGGGTGTCTGTCTGTCTGTCTGTCTGTCTGTCTGACTACGTATATGGTACGTAACGTCTTCGTAAAAAAAGCACACGTCACTTTCCGCGATTTTCTCGCCAAGAGACGCGCAGATAATCAGTTTTTTCTTTGCTTTTTCGACGCTCATAAAAAGACACGCAGCCACGACGAAAGTTTTTGCCGGAGTCTCGAGATGTGTTCATGTGAACGAGAGAGAACGCACACACATAGAAAAGCCGTATGGCAGAAGTAGAGATCGTAAAGGAGCTTTCTGGGTTAATTTTACTTCGGCTCCTTCGACCGAAAACTTTGCATTATACGTGTACGCGTATCGAGAACATTAAAAGCTTATTATAAGTACTTCCCATGATTCTCGCGAAATTTGACTTTACGCGGGTAAAATTTGAAAATTTACTACGAGTACACATGCGGGCTGAAACAAGCATTTAAACTCGAGCGAGGCCGTGAATTTTTTGCGCGAAAATCACTGCATTAAGAACTTGCAGGTGAACTCGAGCGAGAAAAATGAGAGTCGTTTCAAGAGGCTCTGCAGATACTGCAACGTGCTGTCGCTGTTCCACAACGCCTGCGAGAGGAAGGACAGCAGCATGAGCGTCGTCGTCGCGCCCGCGGGAATCCTGAGGAAGGAGTGCACGGACTTTGACGCGAAATCGGGCAGCGATCCGAGAGCCTCGAGCTACTACAGATACTGCTATTTCAAAGAGAAGCTCGACGACGCCGTGGAAAAGTGTAATCGTTGGAAAGCCGACCAGTGCCACTGCACGGCCGGGTGGGTATATTGTTTTCTTTCTGCGTTAATGCATTTCTATATATCGAGCGCGAGAGCGCAGAGAAAAATAAACCAAGTGCATCGGAGCTTTGAATTTTTGTCGCTGTTTTATTTATTTTTTTTTTTTTTTGCTTTTTGTTACCGGTCTCTCGCGTACATAGCTCGAGTGACAAGTTTAGTTGTGAAATATGTGTATACATTCCGCAGATGTACACAAAAGAGATGGAGGCCGCTCCGAATATAATATAGATATGCACGTATAACGCAGAAAGAGGAACGAGAGACAGAGAGAGCGAGAGAGAGAGAGAGAGAGATACAGAGCTGAATGGTCTCTAGTTTTCACTCGACTGAGCGTAAGCTCGCGAACAATGCCGCAGTAGCTGCTCCTCCCTCTTGTTTGCAATTCGATACATACCGCCGCGCGTGTACAATTCACAATTCTCCGGGCCAGGATATACATATATTTTGAATAATATATTATATATATGCGAGTACGTCCCGAGCAAAGACCCTCTCTCTCTCCCTCTCGTGCGACTATTATACATCCGAACGCGGTGCATCCTCGCGTAATAATCAGATGTTGTTTTTTTGCCGATTGCCCTTCCAGAGAGGATTACGAAGCGGCGGCGACGACGACGACGACGCCGACGACGAGAAGAAAAGCCACGGCGACCAGCCCGCCCAAGATTAAGGAGCAGCAGCAGCAGCAACGGATGACGAGTGCCAAGCGAAAGAACAGCCCGGCAAAAACACCTCTCAGACAGCAGCAGCAGCAGCAGCAGCAGCAGTATCCACGCTCCCCTACCGCTGCTACGTCAACGTTGAAGAGGGAAAAGCAGCCGAAGCAACGGCAGAAGCAGCAGCAGGAGCGACAACAGCAGCGACGCCGATCCGCGAGCTCGACAAAAAAGCCCGAGGCTGCGATGATGCCGAAAATCTTCGAGAAGACGAGGTCCGTGGCGTTCGGCAGCCAACCGACGCACGAGCAAATTACTTCCTCGCCCGAAAGTTCCAAACGTTCGCCGAGAGTCAAGGAAACTGCCAAAGGTAAATGCGTACTACTCGAGTGACACTGGGTGAGAAAAAGAGAACGAGCGAGCTTGCGCTACTCGCTCGATGTGCCTGTATGACGAGCTGCCTTAATTGAATGTAACCAAGTTTTACTCTCTCTCTTTCTCTCTTTTCTGCAAATTAGATGTATGTGTATCCGAGTGTGTGCGCGCGACGCAGCTTTCGAGCTTTTTTATTTAAACTGAGAAGCCGAGTAGAAAATTCACCTCTCGGCTCCATCTCTCTCTCTCTATCTTCCTCTATGTTTAGTTTGAAACGCAAATTTGAATTTTAAACTTAACTTCGAGATAACTCCCGGGCTAGTCCCTTGCTCTGTGGCACGTAGGCGGCATATACGTACGTATTTGTATTATATACACAAAGTTACATTTATTATGTACATAGGAGCTTTATACGCATCAGCTATTATTTACTCGCTTTCTGCTGCTTCTTTTGGCCCATACATATGCATGTATCGATTGTATGCAACTGTTTTTGAATGCATGAGTTTTAAATATATATACCTGTGAGTTTACGCCCCCTGATGTAATTATCATTACGTCAATAATCGTCCTTTATCATTGTCAATTATCGTTCCGTTACAATAACGAAATCTGCGTTGAAAGTAATATAAATGTAGCAAATGTATTTTACTAATTAATTATTTCTTTATTGAAAAAAAATTATTTGTTTTAATTTTATTTTAAAGAGCAATATTACTATAGTAAGTAGTAACGCAAAAGGTATAACTTTAAAGAAGGATCTAATCTGTGACAGCGACACTAGTGCTTTACCTTTTTAATATAAACACTCACATTTAATATAATATTCTTACGTACAAATACTATTCACATTGTGCAGAGTCAAAGAGTCCAGTGCCAACGCCGAGGACAATTTCTTCGGCCGAAGGCGAACGAGAGCCAGCGAAAAGAATCGATACCCCGAGCGAGACGAACGAAGAGATCGAGGAAGATATCGACGAAGAGGAGCAGCGAGAAAAGTCCATGAGCCCGCGACGTCGTAGCTCGAGCCCGAAGATACACGACAAGCCCGACGACGAGACGAAGGAGGCGGCATCGCCCTCGCCTCGCAACATCGACAACAACAAAGACAACGATGACGACGATGCTCTGTCGATAGCCAGCGCCGGCAGCAGTCTGAACTACGACTTTTCCATCACCTCGGACATGAGCATCAACGACAAGTCGCCGGCCAAAGCCAAGGTGTGAGATCATCTACTCTCTGACACGCTCGTCAAAATCATATACAAGCACGCGCACAACCCTGAGTTCCGTGTAATATAAAGCCCCCCGCTGCCACGTCCGCGAAGAAAGGAGAGAAGAGCGATAAGGACGTCCAAACGAGAGGAGGCAATCGACGCACTGCGCGCGTGCAAGACTTCATCAAGCAGTTTTTCAGCAAGAAAAACAACGGCAAGGAAGCCTGGAAGATAAGCGAAAGCAGCTCGGACACGACGGATTCCGGCGAGGTCGACTCGGCGTCGGCGCCCTGGACCAAGAAAGCCACCAAGAGATCCAGTCCTCTGGCCAGGGCGGAGTCGATCAATCCCGAGCGAGCCATCGGCAGCACAGGCGAGGCCGGCTTGCGAATCATCAGCAACTGGAAGAACGACTTCTCCACCAACTTTTACGCCAAGGCCAACGCGTCCAAGTACTGCGATCCGGGCTGCAGACGCGGCGACGAGCCCAACTGCAGCGACAATTGCAAATTCGTCAAGACCAATTGCCGCAATTTGTCCAATTACACGCGCTGCCTGAACAAGACGAAAGGCGAGAACGAATCCGAGTCTTCGGATTAACACGATGTTGAATCAACACGAGGACGGATGACGATATTGTTGCCGAATTATTAAATTGTAGTGATGATTCCGTGCAATATGCATTTCGATCGTTTTGAGATGTATTTAGCATTTGAATTAGAATCATGATTTCGGTCAAAATTGAAATCGCGAAAGAATGAATTAAATATAGTTGAGAGTCAGGTTGCGAATAAAAAAATCCCCTCGGATTTCCAATAAGTCATTTTTATTTCAATCATTCTTTTTTTAGATAGTATTACACTTATATAGTAGTATTGTTTGCATCTGACTTTTTGTATAGACTTTTAATATTAGTGAATTGTACAGTGGAAAAATATATCTCAATGTACATATGTTTTATCAGATTGTAGATTATCCTAGCTTATGTGATTGCACACATAGAGCGATTATAGTTTGTTTTTTTCTTGAATATTTTATACACTTATCTAACCATGTATTGTTTATTTGGTGAATTTATTTTATATAAAAATGTTAACTAAATCAAGACTCAACTTTTTTCGAAATCTTTACTTGAAAAAAATTCTCACTTCAAGTACACAAATTTCTCAAACCAAGCTCATACAGAATAATGTAACAAATGTAGTGCAGAGCTTTGTTTCAAAGAATCTCTGCCTTTCAAGCTTACTTACTAATTTTTAAGGCTGCCTGAATTCTTGTACCGTGAGAATTGACGTTTGGCTTCTCCAAAAGCATCCAGATCTATTTCCTAGTCAGAATTAATTTAACTACATGCGTCAATCAAGACAATAATGCTAACCATAGCATAACTTGAGAATAAAATCTATTTTCAAATAAAAACCATGAAAATACGTAAACGTTGCGTATCAAAAGAAAAATAGTTTAAAAAATCGTGATTCTCGAAAAATGCACGTGATTGATACATTACTACATTGATTCAACAATGCTCATAACAATCAACAGAATTGTGTCAAAACCTACTAAATTGCTAATGTTGAATTAGTCTAGAAAGTAAAAAAATATATTAGAAAATAGTAACTGATATCACTGCATCTCTCATCTGCAATGACCTCGTATTGGATTGAAAAAATTGTCATCTTCTTAGTATGTCAGATCAAAGGTAGTCGATGGTGGTGCAAGTGTCCACCCACTTTGTCAGCTCTTCATCTTCTTACATGCCGTCCGAAGCATTAGACGATGAGTCTTCGTACTCATGAGCGTCAGGTCCCTTGTTCAAGAGTCTCACTAAATCGGTAACTTGTTTAATTGTATAATTTGGTTTTGGGTCATCTGCTGTGAGACGACTATCACCAAGTGGTATCCAAACAGTACCAGCTAATCCAGCTTCAATACCACCTAAGACATTACAAAATTTAAATATTAACTTCTGCAACGATTGTAATATAAATAATATTTTATATACTGTAACGTCTATAAATTATATTGAGTCATTGTAAAATTTAATTGTATAATTGAATTAAATAAGATGATGTAAACATTTTTTTAAATCTTCAAACGGCGTCTTTCAAATTTCTTTTTTAAATTTAAAATTGAACATTTTTTCTATTACTCAGTACATTTTGCTTCAATATTTAGTAATGATACTTTTTGAAATTAAAGCTAGGAATCATTATTTAATTTACTATTATTTATGTATTTGTACTTGAAACTTTTTAAATCGTTGAGTTTATAATTTCAGACGTAACAATAATTATAATGCTATATTACATTTTCGTCTAGAAAATGCTGAATATTTATTGTAAAAAACTTATCCGAATATTCGTATAGATAATTTACATGGCTTAATTAATTACAGCAATTTTTTGAGAAATCCCCTATAATATAGAGTTCTGTAAACAGAAAAAATTGATTAATGGAAGGTACGTTTTTTTTCAAAGCTTACCTTGGATGTCAGTTTCTAACTTATCCCCCACCATGATACAATTCTCAGGATGGACGTTAAGATATCGACAAGCCTCTTCAAAAATTTGCGCCGACGGTTTCTCCCACGGCAAGTCACCCGACACCAAAATGATATCGAAGTACTGCTGTAAACTGAGTTTGTGGACTTTTTCCCATTGGGCATTTGACGGTCCATTTGTTATCAAACCTAATCGATACTTGCTCTTGAGCTGACGGAGCATGGCGATGGTCTCGGGTGTCAGGGCCAGACAGTAGTACCGCAGGTAAAGCCATCTCTCGTAAGTTTGCTTTGCTAGGTAAGAATAATTTTCGCCGAGGGCTTTATTCCACAAGGACGTGCGCCAACTGTCTAAGCTAAGTGTAACATTGTCAGGGCATTTCCTGAATTGCTTGAGAAACGAAGCTGTGATTTTGTTTGAACAATCTTGTGGCACACCATATTCCTTGTTTAGTTCTTCTGCAAGCTGTTGATACACAAAAATATCTTTATTAGTTATTGTTTTTCTAGCACACCTATAAGAGCATTTAAATTTCAGCACATAATCAATTATCAATGATGTATAGATTATGTTCTTATGTATTTGAAAATCACATCCAATAAAATTCAAACAATAATTTGAACGGAATGGAAAAAAAATGTTATGAGAAAATCGGGTAAGACGTACAAGTTTATTGAATGCGATTTTTGTGTAATGAATAATGGTTTATGTAATATTTTAATTTAGGAATTTGAGCGCTCAATGAAGACTCTTAATTTTTATATGATTACCTATAAAATGCATTGATTCATTCAAATACTCAAGCCGACTAATTGGTCTCTGGAAGTGGCATCCATGGACTCTACTGTAATCACAACAAAATAAGTTGTGCCAATGACAAAGTTATCGAGCTATACAAAGAGGTGCTTTACTTTTATTACATGAAGATTTTCCTTATGAGATTGAAACTTTATTTCTCACAATTTTTATAACTTTCTTAAATAGTAATTGATAATTCATAACTCAATACCTGAAATTGAAAAAAGGTGTAGTAATTTCAATATAAAAATAAGTGAATTACAGTGAAATCCCTTTGTTCATAAGAAATTAGATTTTATTTATGTGATCTTTTGTACATTATTTTTACAGAGGATTATAAATGGTGTTAAACATTATCTTTGGCTATTTTCAATAAGTACATTTTTGTTAACATTTAAAACAAATTTTTTCAATGTCAAAATTAAAAAAAAAGATGCAAAATATTTCAAAAGTGCAAAATCAACAATAAATATTTTCCACGCATCATAAAAAACAACAGAATTAACTCTGAGAAAGTATATAATGTTAAGTTTGTCATTTGCCAGCATACTATTTTCAGGTGTGAGTTCTCTAAATATATATCAGAGCCACAAAGTGTAAAACATACACAAGCATCTTTGTCACTCTTCTAACCGTCACTGAAAATTTCATACCACACTTGAATCATAATAAATTATCTGAAATAAACCGATGCTCACTATAAATAGAAAATGTATTTTTTGATCATGTTATAAACAAATTTTAATATTTTTTTAAAAATAGTGGAAAAATTTGTTTCTTAATTTTTTATTACTTTGATCAAGTCAAGAAAATCTTAAAAACTCTACTTGAAAATTTTAAGAAATGACAATAAACATTTATACTGTACAAAATATGAGTATTATTAGATTAAAAATAAAAAGAAGTAATTAAAGCTTTTCAATCTCCAAAAAGGTGCTTTCCCAATTCCATCATACGATGATTTCTACACACAGTCAAGGCTCCAGCTTTTTTCAAAACTGCAGCTACACTTTCATCTGCTTTCACCAAGTGGCTTAATAAATCTTCAAATGCTGATTTGACATTTGGCTGCAGTCCTCCAATCTTGACCTTTTTCAAAGTTTCTATGATGCCTTCAGCCCAGCCAGATTCAATAGCAAATTCAGATAACCATGGTACCATTTGTAATACGCTTGCCATGGTTTGCATTCCCAAAAACCATAATTCCATAATTTCCATCCAGTGCTCTTTATACGTGATATTTACAGCTAATTCAGTAGGGTCATTACTTTCATCAATGATATATGCATCCCATAAGAATCTTATAGTTGCTTGTATGTATCGACAAATGGAGAAATCATTTTTCTTGACTCTCTTAGCTTGTTGTTTCAACAGTAGTAAACCAAGAACAGCCATGTTACCATGTAGAACAAGATTTTCTGGTATTTGTTTAAGTTCTGGTAAACTGTCAAAAATGAACTTTAATAAATTGATAAATGTTAGAGACTCTTCAACTAATTTGGCTTCTAACACAGTAATATTCATAAGAACATTGCAAATGGATACCATGGCTGTTCTAGAATCTGCCATTTCTTCAAGAACATGAGGCTCTAATTCTTTTGCCGGTTCTTTCAATGCTTTCAATCTTTCAGACTTAGGTACTGGTGGCTTTTTATAATGGACAATTGACCAGTGGTAAGACAAACACTCAAACAAAATTTGATCTTGTTTATGTTTTAATAATATTTTTCTGGCATCTTCGTCAACAGTAAGATGACATAAGGCTGGAAGCATTAATCTTAAAATGTCAATATCACTAAGAGGATCGTGTACAACTGGTTCTCCGGATGACGATCCTTCATCTGGTTTTGCTGCTGCTCTAGCTTTTGCAGCTACTCTTTTATTCCGGTAGGCATAAAAAGTATCATTGGCTATTGTTAAAACATAAGGCAATACAGCGAGAACTTGGGTACGCATTGCAGTTGTTTCTTGTGCCAGCCATGCAGCTAACACTCTAACTAAGGCACAAACAAATACACGTTCTTTAACATCAGTTAACTCTTTCATCTTAGACACAGACGTTAACAAGCTAATAACTGCTGCAAAAGCTCCTTTTAATGCTGTATATAAGGACTGTTTTTCTTTTTGTTCCATGTCTAACTGATCAGTTATTATGTAAGAAATAGAGATTTCTAAAACCATGAAACAAGCTATAATTAGATCAGCATTTGATAATACACCTTTTAATTGTTTTCCTTCCAATTGCATTCTCACTTCAATTGAAGCTAGTTGAATAAGTAATAAGAAAAATACTTTAGGCTTCTCTTCATTAGATAAAGCCCATTCTACTCCCAATAATTCAAGCATGATAGATGATAGTTTCAGCGCAGGGTCTCTTTGATTTTTTCCAATCTTTGAACCAAGAATATCACTCAAACCCTTCAATATACTTTGGGGCCAAGATTCATTTTTAGCACTCTTGGAAATTACATCACGCCTGCAGGAAGCAAGTAAGGCTTGGAGTATAGAACACAGATGAAATTTCCTTTCATCATGATCAGTTTCAAAATCTAAAGCAATTTTATTAATGATAGCATGAAAAGGAGCGGTATCTGCGGCATCCCATGCTTCTGGTCCAAATTGATTTGCCAGTATAACAAGGATATTCAATGCTTCATCAGTTTTAAAACTTTTTTCAGCATAAATTTCACACATTTTGGGAATTGCTTTCTGCTCAATCAGTGCTTTTTGACCAGGTAAATGTTGAGCGATACTTTGAAGACATGTATAAGCTTCACTAACAATAATCAGAGTATCGTCAGGAGCATCTTCATCAGCTTTAGAAACAATTTCTAATAGTGCCGGTACATGGGCAACCATATCTGGGTGTGAAGCTAAAACTGGATCAGTGCAGAAAGCTGTTAATATTGATAAAGCAACAGATTTATATACCTGAGGTGGACAATCTACAGGCACATCGTCACTAACAAGTAGCTTTCGAATAAATTTAGCACCGATCCCTTCAAATAGTGCTTTCTTTGCTGCAGAGTTGCAGTCTTTTTCTTTCACCAACTTTGTTACCATAAACAAAGCAGCAAATTTTTCAGAATCTGCTTTGACCATGTGAAGCATGGCCACACACTTCTTAACACTGTCCGGTATCTTGTCACTCGCCATGTTTTGGTTAACAGATAACTCAATAATTCAATACTAAACACAAAGTTGTAAATGGAATTACAAACTTGGATGCATGCAATTATGCGGTTCTTCACTGACTTAATAAAATCAACAAGATCTCATACACAATTCAACGTGCCAATGTAGCCGCAAAGGTTGTCTGCAGCCAACTGGCAACCCTCCGGCGGCATGAGTTCTGCTGCACACTGTCTATTGGCAATTTGAGATTCTTTGGTACCCTCTAGCGGCGAACTTTGGCGTAAAAAGTAAAAACTAAGCAGCTTCAAATATTTACGTACGCAAATAGCGCGGAACAGTTGGAAAAATTAATTATCGAGCGGATACAAATAGATCAATGCGGAAAATAGTTAACGAGAAAACTATCTCTAAGCTATAGAAGCGAAATTAATAATCTTTTTCGATCATTGTTCTCTCTAAATCGAGCTATTTTGAGTGTTAGCTCGGATTTCTTTTTTTGTTTGCAAAAACACAGTCGCGGCTACGGCTTATTTTTACCGTATATCCAAATCAAAAATATGCAAACACGTGAATATTTATCACAGCTTTACATGCGAGTATATAAATAGGTTTGTTCGTTTGGCTAGTTGCTAATGTATAATAGCAAAAAGCTCCACAACGCAAACTCGTTACGGAGTACGGACTACGGCCACGTGAGGAGAGCTTATTTCCGCGTACGGTATTTTCGTATGAGTTCTATTTAACCAACATTTTTTCCTCCATAATATTACGAGCTTGCGCAAATAGTTGAAATGTTTCATGGAAGTTTTCCAAGAAATAAACTGCTCGTTAGAATAAATCTCAAAAAGTATTTGATCAAATTTATTACTCTAGTTATCTTTTTTAATCTTTCGAATGCTCGGATAACTTTATAAGGCTCAGCTCAAATCCGAATTCTATAGGGTATTCATCTGCAAATGTATTTTAAGTTCCGACGGCAGAAGTAAAATCCCCTCTTAATTGAAGCAATTTCTTGAATTAGAAAAGATTTCCTGTGTGTTATAGCCTTGCCCTTTGGCATACAAACAACCAAGATATTGTAGTACAATGTTGGTGTGCATGACTGATGCAAAAATAGCTTTGAACTCGAGTCAGATCGGTTCGAGATAGAGTTCAACTACCCCACAACGGGTGTAAAACGATACCAGCGCTCGTTTAACGCTATTCGCAGGTCTATTATAGATTTTATGCGCACAAGACGACGCTTATTACGCCTTCTCTTAACGAGATCGTAATCCAAGCTTCGGACACTTTTCTATAGTTGTTTAGTCGCAAAGACGACGCGGAAAAAGACGCATTTTGGCTTTTCTAGCTGGCTGTAGCAGCATCGACATCGAGATAGAGAAAGAGCAGCTTAGCGCAGTTTTCACACACACGAAAACAAGAAATTTTCTTTCCTCTTTCTCGCTTCTCCGGACAGTGTCAAAAATAATCTTTTGGCCGGGCGTAGATGAGAAAGCACGCTATATTGGGCATGGGCTATCGCGTTACGCCGCTCACACACAACGTCTATTTCCGTCACGAACGTTCAGCACTTTTCTCGCTGCTGCAAAAACAAGCGGCTTCTCTGGCGCATATTATGTATAGCTACTAGACTCGAAGAAATCGCTACAACGTAGAATAAACTCTGCGTCGTGTGCGTCGTTTATTTGCATCACTCGGGCATTTTTGCATACGCGCTTCTCTCGTCTCAGGAAAAACACTCGCGCGCGACGATCAATTTTTTTTTGCTGTCACTTATTTACATAAATGGTGTAGCATCCGGATACGCGCGAATAACAAGCCTGCACACCGATCGTCGAGTAAAATTCCTAAAAATCGAAACGAGTTGGGCGAGGTGAAGACGGATTTAAAAACGTACAAATGCATTGAAATAAATTATCCGATGAAGAAAAAAAATTGCAACGAGTTTCGTATCTTTCCAAGAAACTAAAATAAAACCGATTAAAAGTAAATCAAGCAATATATTTGTGCTAAATAATAGAAATAAATTAAACGTATTATTTCAAAAATGACATTTATAGCAATCAATCGAACAATTAAACTACGATCGAAGCGGTTCGATCGATCGATATGATCTGATTTTCAAGTTGATTCAAACACGAGGTTTTTAATAATAAACGTTGCGTTAATAAGCCTGTGCAGCGAAAACGCGTATTTCATTCGCGTTCGAAAGCGTGCAAAAAGTCGCACGAGCACGGGTTTGGCATGGTGCAATGTGCATGTGCAAATAACGCGGACTCGCGAACGTATGCAGCCGAAGCCTACGTCGTAACGAAAAGAAAGACCAGAAACTTGCGAACGTCAGCCAATATAGGTAGGTGAGTTCGTATAAGCCTTTGTCTCGTGCGAGTATCCGACACCGTTATAATTCTCATGTGAGTTTGCAGCAGCCCGCGATATAGCCGTCAACGCGCCCGAACGAGTCTCTTTTCGGACGAACAAAGTCCGACGATAGTTATACAGAGACATGTGGATGCTATATAATCTAGTAGCGAGGTTGATAGAGCAGAGAAAAGTCGTCTGCTGCGGTGGCTGCAGCGCGACGAATTCGTGCCCGAAACGTCAGTAGAGTCGCGCGCGATCGAGAGCGCCATGCCCATCGCTGCTGCTGCAGCACGGAATAAACAAAAACGAGTCGCGACGCGGTGCACGATATAGATAGTTTTGTTATATAGGCTGTTTTGACCTCTACACGGCGTCCTTTCTAAGCGAGTTCCTTACTTCCTCTAAACTGTCCACTGAGAATCATCACGTGTTGCAACAGTGCGATGTGACGTCTATTCCACTTATATACATCATAAAGAGCACTTTGCCTATACTTCATGTACATATGCATTAGACACTTTCTAGACAGAATCGTTGACCATTTTTTTCGTATTTCATTGCACAGTTTTTTGCAATAAACGTCAAACTTGTATCGAATGTATTATTATCGTAATTAAAGGTATGTATGATAAAAAAAGATTATTTGGGAATCATGGGTGGAAAAGTTTGATCGAGCTTGATGATAACATCATGTGAGGATGATGGTGAGAGATAAAGACAGACAGATCGACGCGACGGGAAAATTTATGTATATGTATTGAAAGATAGGACAACAAGTTAAAGTACCTTGCGACAAGCCAAACTGTCAGCTTTCCTGGTCTCGATGAGGGTATTGTCCAGATCGAAGAAGAGCGCGGCGACGGACGAATTCGGACCGTCGGGCCGTGATCGAAAGGCCCCAGCCATCTGCAGCCTACGCACGAGATTATGTACTAAGGACACCAGCGTAGCTTCGCTCGTTCCCGTATAGTAGTATAGGCTTTGTGTATGCGTGCAGCGCGTGCTGTCGGGCTTGACCTGGATTTGTCACTGCGAGAGGCTCTCGTGTGTCTGCGTCTGTGGTTGCTTTGCTGCTGCTGCTGCTGCTGCTGCTGCTGCTGGACTTTTTTTGCCTTTCCCTCGGTGTCTCCTGCGCGCCTGGGGGACTGCTGTTGCTGCTACCGCTGCTCGCTGGCTTATATAGTGTTGCAGGCTAGGATTCCGTTCGATGCAGTGCGCTGCTTGCTGCCTGTGTCCGTGTCGGTCGGGAGGTGAGATTTCGTCGTAAGCGAGTTGCTCGCGGTAGGTGCGCAGCAGACAGGCCTAAGCAGCATTCATTCTTTCTCCGCAGCTGCTAGGTATATCGTGGAGAGCCAGTCGACTCGGGCTTGCCTTTGTAACTGCTCAGTGCGCAGTGCTGGCTGATTTATCGACGCACGCAGGCGCATCGCGTTTGCTTAGAGGCAATTGCGACTCGCGACTCGTAGCTGATACTGCGCATTTGATAACACGCACACACATACTCATGCACGCGTTCTCACGTGTGTTCCGTCATATCGACGAACCATATTCACTCTTACAGAGGAAAAAACCCCCTGTTGCGACTTGTATCGACATAGCCGAGAGATTGTGTATACGATATCGAGCCGATTCGAGGAACCACGTGGCTCTATCTTGCAGTGACTTTTGGAAACAAGCTTGGGTGGCGAGCCTCTGGCAACAATGCAAAGATATTTGAGACACTGCCTGCAATGCAATTCGAAACTACTGATATTTCTTATCGTAATATGGTGATCTGAAAAACAAATATTCCAGGAATATGTAAAACTATCTAAACGCACGTATGCTTCTCCAAAACCTATACTCTTATTCTAATTGTAGAAGAAAATTTAGGCTGCTCTAAAAAAACACGTGGAGATTTTCAAAATAGAGCTGTGTCTATTCTGGGGATTACACTTTCTTCAGCAATAATAGTACAATTACTACATATATTAATACATAGCATCTCAATGCATCAACTTCAAAATTCTAATTATAAGATCATAAACCTATCTCATCATAATATATTCAGAATCGAAATTTAATTTCTTCGATAATGAATTCGTTGAAAGAAGAAAAAATGAATAAGTTAAACTGCATTGTCTTAAGATGCATGGAAACTTTCCATTCTAGTTGTGACTCTCATTGAAAATTCCAGGAATGAGTTTTTTAAAGCTTTTTCAAATGTATAGTGACTATACTAGCATTAAAAGCATTTAAAAATTTAATCTTTTTCAAATGCAACAATAAATTTTTGAAAGTTTAAGTTTAACATTTAACCGATCGTATTGGAATTTTTTATATTAATTATTGTCTAAATTGTGTTTAAAAAGCGAAGGTCTAAAGTTTGAGAGGTAAAAAAATCCTCATAGGCCAAAAACTGTAAAACTGTCATGAATCATACTCTTGGCACATTAGCGTGGCATATAATAGCTAATTAGAAAATTGTAGCCGAAGAAGGAAAAAAGATTTACTTTTTGCTATCTTATTATCGTTTTTCAAAAAATGACGCTAAATAAGAACAATTGAGCTTTTGTTATGTGGATGAGCATAGTAACAACTTTGAAAAAACTCATTAAAATTAATGAGGTTCAATGTCAGCGGCTAGTGATATGACCAAGATATACATTCGCGTCAAGTCTATCCGTTCTATCCTGACCGTGAGTCTTGCCTATGTCCAATTTATTCTGACATTTTTAGCTGATTTGAACTTGTGCGCAGCTTCAATGAATTATGATTCTGACTCGCATTCAAAACATCTTTCGCGATAGTACCGCAGTCGATTGCTGGACGTCAACTGTGCACAAAAACAGACAACCTCAGCGCAATAATGCGTAAGTATAACGTTTACCAAAATTTGGCACTACTGTCATTACTCGATACTCAACTTGGCATTAAATATTTTGGCTAAGAAAATAGAAAGTGTTGCATAAGTAATATAGTGACAGATGATTAAAACTTATTTTTAAAATTATTATACATGAAAAACCACTTGATTTTTGACACGAGTAAAACTTTATCTTTGAACAAAAATGACAAAAAATTAATGTACCCACTTTCTACCTTCTTATAGTTTATTTATCCCAATTTACTTTTAAAAGCATCCAGTACTTTTCCACTGTGCATCTTAAAGGTTATGAGTGAAATGTTTTGATAGCTAGTGGATTCTACAATGGAATATAATTACAGTGAAAGTTTAAAACACTCTGAATGAATCCGTCGGTATCAGAAATGGATCTAACTGAAAGTTTGATTTTTCCATAATGCATTTCAGAACTCTCTCAGTCAGAGATAAGAAATGTGAATTGTTTCAATAAAATTGCCTCTTTATGTCATTAAAAAAAACTTAGTAGTACCCCAAAAAAGGAAGAAAGGAGAATTTCAAATATCATACGTATTTTTTCGTTTTACTTCGTAGACTATACTGTACTAAATCACGAGCGATCATAGTTAAATGTGATTCTAGTCATTCTCCGACCAGATAGTTTTAATAATATTTTTTATAATTACACATTTTTTTATTAAGTAATAATCTTATTTTCTAGGTTTTCCAGTAATTTTCACGGCTTTGTTCGCCGTCTTCACCTTCGCGGAGGCATTTGATCAAACTAAAGATTGGGCTTCGGCGCAAACGATGTATGAATTTCACGCAAATGACATCCATGGAAAAGACGTATCATTAGATAAATACAAAGATCATGTTGCGATTGTGGTAAATGTTGCCAGCCAGTGTGGCTTAACAGAGGCTAACTACAAGCAACTTCAAGGTTTATATGAAAAATACGGAGAATCAAAAGGCTTGAGAATTTTAGCATTTCCTTGTAATCAATTTGCTAGTCAAGAGCCTGGAACTTCGGAAGAAATTTTAGCATTCGTCAAGAAGTACGATGTTACTTTCGACATGTTTGAAAAAATCGATGTCAACGGAGATAATGCTCATCCCCTATATAAGTGGATGAAATCTCAGCCTGATGGTGCAGGTGTTCTTATCGATGCTATTAAATGGAATTTCACCAAATTCATTATCGACAAAAATGGTAAAGTTGTGGCTAGATTTGCACCAACAACCGAGCCTAATTCTATGGAAGAGACTTTGTTAAAACTGTTTTAAGATTTATCGTAATTTTTAAACGTACGTCACTTTTATTTTCTACTTTTAATCTATTCATTGACTCTATTTTGAAATATTTTACGTTAAAGTAGTTTTATATTGGAAATATTTATTTTAAATATAATAGTGTGATATTAATCGATCAAAATAAATAAGACATGTTGAAAATAAATGTTGTAATCAATTGAACAATTATTCATTGGAAATAATTAATAAATTACTCCATTTTTTAATTATTGGTAAGTGTATATTTTGATCACGAAATTTTATTACCTGCATTACATAAACATATAATTATTCTGTACAAATATTATATCTGGCATTTAATATTCCAGAATCTAACAAAATAAAATATTAGCACGAATCCACTTATGCAAGAGGATAATACATGATATGTAAAAAATAAAAATCAGTAATTAAGTACTTTTTCCGGAGTTTCATCTTAAAGTTTATAAGTAAACCTTATATTTTTTTGTGAATACAAAACAGTTAGTGAATATAAAAAATTCAATAATAAAATTAAAATAAACCAAAGTATAAGTTAATTTCTCAATCATATAATAGTATTTTACTACATAATAATTAAATAAATATTTCTCTACAGTTACTCATATAAATACAATTCATATATTCTTTTTCTCGCTTTGTTACTATAAATAAAATGCTATATACAATATCTTTCTTACAACGCAACAACACAATCATAAAAAAAATTATAAAAAAAAAGGATTTCATAAGAAAATCTTGAACATTGACGTATTATTTGCGAACTTGACGAAATGACAGTTCATTAATTCAAATGACTTGAGACATCAAACTAGGATTCGTAACGTTAGATTCGCGATTATTCGTAACAACGACAATTCGTTTTGTTTACGTAGAATTAATAAAAAAGATACACATAAATTACTTAAACGAGATAATCTAAAGTGTATGAATTTATAGTAAAAGTTTCCATGTTTCAATTAAATGAACGATTGGATAACTTATAATCAACTTGGACGGACGAGGGTCTTGTACACTTTTGTTAAAGATGAGTGACTACACCTTTTTAATCTAATTAAATCTAAAATACTAAAATTCTAATGTAAATTTATAATATTCAATCTACGTATATAATTTTACAGTCTATGCGGTTTCCTTTGCTTCTCCGTTATTGCCATTCATTATTTGCATTTCATGCTCGATAGGTTTGTTGTGGCCATTGGAAACTGCTTCTTCACAGGTCTGCAAAAATAAAAACATCATATAATATTTTTAAAACTCACATTAACTACAAGTAGAAAATAAAAAAATAATTAAAAGGCCGTTGCGGGGGAATCAAACTAAAACGTTGAATTACCCATAGTCTCTTGTTGTAATTCTACCTTGTAGGAAGGATTGTCGTAGGCTGACGTAGTTTTTCGCGGTGATATGTCAGCCTTGCTGCTCGTTCTTCTTTTCATCAGCATCATCAAGAGAACCAAACTCATTAGTATTGATACAGTCGCTACTATCGCCACTATTACCAAAGGTCCATAGTAGTCACTTTCATTAATGGGTACGGATGCAAGTTTTCCTACAAAAATATGATTTATTTTTTCAATAAAATTCATTATCTTTCCAGAAAATGTTCTCGAAATCAATAATGTACCTTGAAGCAGTACTCCGGGCTTTGTTACAAAATCTTGGACGTTGCTCTTTTTGATTTTGCCATTTGTCATATATACTTCTAGCCAGAGTCTGTAGCGCGTGCCCGGTTTCAAATCATCGATTATCGTCTTGGCTGGAGCATCTTTTTTGGCAAGCTTGAAGGTGCTCGTATCCTCCTTACCGCTGTCGCTTTGATACACCGCTCTGAAGATATTCACGTACTTTTCTTGAGGTGAAGGGACGCCGCTCCATAGGACTTCAACCTCAGTTGCTTTGATCGTTTTTATTTCGACTCTCACGTCGAACGAATAGGGATCCGATTCAGCAGTCGTTGTGAAATTTACCTGAAAAATTGAATAAATTTTTTCGTAAGGAACGAAAATTCTGCAAATGATGAATTTTAAATAAACTGAAACTTACCGTTTTACTATCAATCAATACGTCTGTTTGACCGATAATGTCTTTTGTGCTTAGATGAACTTCGTACATCGTAGAAGGCTGCAAGTGATCGAGCACGTAGTGATTGACGCTTTTGTGGAGAAGAGGCGTAACCGAGTAAGTCTTCTCATTTTCAGCTCTGTACATGAGATAAACGCCATCAATAAACTGTAATTCGTAGTTGGAGAACTTTTTCCATTCAAACTCAGCATAGGTCGAATTTATTTCAAGAATCCTGAGCTCGGAATCGATGGTGATTTCTGCGGGCGTAGAATTCGCTACCGGTTTATCTAGAGTGCGGACTTGATAAATCTTGCTCGTATGAGTGTTAGCCAAGTCACGCAATTTGACAACAATCATCAGTCTGTATAAAGTCGACGGTTTCAAACCACTCAGGTCAAACTCCAAATCTTCGGTGTCGATTAGATCGCCCGGAGGTGCAAACGTTTGAGACTTCCAAGACAATGGATCCGAGTTTCTATTTTGAGGGAAAGTTGAGTTGAATCAAGTGAAAAGATTTTTTTTATTTATTTGAGAAAATAATACTTACGATTTGTCGCTCGTGTAACGAACCTCAACCCGACCGTGAAGTCCTACTAAAACTGATGGCACAGTAAACATTAAGCGTACGCTGTTTGCACTGATAGCTCTTAAATCTTCTACAGCTACTTCATAAGTCTGAGTGCTAGCTACATTGTAACCACCGTGAGGTGGGAATTGACCAATTGGTGGTAAGCCTTGACCAAATCCTAAAGAAAAGTCAATAATTTTTAATAAATTATATATTTAGAGTCTTTGAATATATATTAAAGGTAGTTTTCATTCCAGAAATAATTATAAAATGAAATGTAACGATCATGTCGATGAAAAGGATGAATTAAAAAAATTAAATTATTTGCGTTATAAATATTCAGATTTCAAAGCTTTAAGTTATAATTCGTAATTCAAGGAACTTATGTAGAAAATCTAGCTTTGTTCACTCGAAAATTTTACATTTTTTACGCGTAATAATAAGAAATAATGAAGGTTTTCGAATTTTCTGTGGCAACCACTGTATTCTTTGTGCCCTTATCCTATATCGGAAAGATGTTTGAAAATGAATAATGTCATCTATCCATTTTCCATGCGGATTTCTTTGTCAGATTGAGTCTATATTTCAAGAGATAGGGATGATAAACCCTGACCTTCATTTATCTATATCACTTACTCGAGATTAAAATTAGAACTTATTCAATAAAAATTCCATCAAAAAAAGTGAACCAGTCATAAAAACCCTGAGAAATATCTGTTAACGAACCTGACTGACCAGGTGGCGGTACTTGGGCCACAAATCCATGGGGTCCAAGTTGGGGATGCGTCAAACCAATCACGGGACCTTGAGATGGAGGCTCATTGTCCTGGGGTACATTCACCCCATGATGCTGGTTATTTGGATTCAACTGATCATGTTGAATAACATGGGCAAGCAATTCCTCGAGCTGCTGAGGGGTATTGGGAACTTCTTGCGCGTGCACGTGGTAAGTTGTTTGACCACTCTCATCTTTCTGGGTATAAACTTGGGGCTTAACCTTCTTCTTCGCTGGTTTTTCTTCGTGAGTCTCTTCTTGATGGTCAGGGTGTTGTTTATCGTACTCCAGCAATCCCGGATATTGATAAGGATCCACATGGTATACTCCGTCAGGGAGATGAGCATATGGGTTAACCGTAGTTGGTCTATGCGGTGGTCTGACTTTTTCACTGGGATAAGTTTCTGGTGAGACTTTTTTCTTCTGAACAGCTGGTACCACATTGTTTGGATCTGTTCCATCTGGTCGAGCTCCGTACGAAGGACCAGCAGCTGGATTCTCCAAAAGAGTATCAAAGTGTGATGTGGGAATATTTTCACCGTTAGTTGGAGCGAAACCGAATCCGGCCCCAGGTAAGTGATCGTACACGTTTAGTGGTATGAATTGTGGTTGTTCGCCGTGTTCTGATTGGGAACCTTTTTTCGTTCCAGGTAGTTTATTATTGGTTTCAGGAACCGCAACGTTAGGATTGTTAGGTCTAGCAGTTGGTACTTTTTCTGGGAAACGATCTGGTGCTAAAGGACCAGGGAACTCATTACCGTCCTTATGAGACTTTATTGTATCTACTGGTTTCTTCGATTCAGATTTTGATTTGTTTTTGTCTTTGACTGGTGGCGAAACTTTTTCCGTATGACTCGGTAAATGGAATACTTCGGCCGCGCTAGGTCGAGTGGGTTTAAAGTCAGGATTGTAAGGACCCACGTATGGCACTGTTGGATGACCTGGGTCCATTGGGTAATGTATAATATCAGAGTTAGGAGGTACTGCTGGTTGGGGTGGGTGTGTGGGAGTAGGAGCCATTGGCCATTGGAATGGCGTACTTGGGGTTGGCTTCTCGCTCGGTTGCTTAGACTTGTCTTTCTGGTGCTTTTCGTCCGTGTCAGGTGCAACGGGGCCAGGATAAATATACTTAGTATTTTTGCCTGAAAATGAATAAAAGGAATAGTCGTCGTTTGTATTAATGGTCCGAGGTACAATGAACATTTTTATGTCAAAATTGAATTGTAGTTTACATTTACATTTACAAAGTCTATTATGCCAACAACTTTATTTTAAAAGCTCAAATGTTAGTAGAATCAAAGATAAATAATATATAAATAAATAAATAAATAAATAATAGAAACCTTGCACATTCGAGTAAATTCAACAATTTTCAAAAGAAGAAAGCATAAATATCCAAATTGACATGCAATTTTAAAAATTGTACAATTACACTACATCAAATACAAAAAATAAAAATATACAAGTAGGAAATATATTTTTCGAATCAAACAGTCAAAAAGGTAATGTCAATAAAGGTAAAAAGTAAAGATTTTCTACATATTATCCCAGGTACACTTGGAGGTTCAGTCAGGCTCGTATTTTTGAGTTTTATAAATGAGCATTCTCACGCTAGGACCAAAACCAATTTTCATATGTACAAAAATAGTTTTAAGGGAAGGTATTGAATGAGGTAATGAGGTCCGATTTATGAAGCGATACATTTTTTTCCAAAGCACTCAATCAACATAGTTAGCATTTTCTTATGAAAACCAAAAGCGATTCATTCACTTCAGGGAATTATTTTTTAATTATTTTTCATTATATTTACAATAAGACTGGTTTTATTAGTTGAATTTTAATAATCCTTCGCAATCGCTCCTTCATTCCGTTCATCCATCACCTCCGATAAATTATATATTATGTTTATAATGTTTTTGCATACAATCAACAGAATAGGGCTACATTGCGTAACTCAGCTATTGTATGTAAAACGTTTTACGCGCTTATAATTTGAGTTCATCTCATTTATATGTACACACAATGAAAACGCATTCAAACAACATTTAGCCGATACAATCGTTAATAAGTAATTATTCCAAATACCTGGTAAATCCAATGCGTTCTGTGGACAGGCCCAGTGCAAGCAACAATCGTCACCGGGTAAGTGCGTAAGAATGGCTTCGTGGCTTTTGCAATTCAGTGACATGGGCGGTAACTGTGGCACCGGTGGACAAGCCGGATTACAGGTGACGTTGCCGAATTCGCAGAAGCACTCCTTTTCACAACCAGTAACATTGGTCGGTAGTCGAGACCAATTGTCATAAGTTTTGCCTTCGTAAGTACACGAGCCGTTATTTCTGCATAGGACCTCCTGTATTGTACAGAAAACAAGAGATAAGATTAAACGAATCAGTGGAAAAAAAAGATGACATTCGAACGTCGTACCTGTGGACAACAGTTGGGAGCTTTAGGCACGTGATTCGGTGGAACCGTTTCCCAGTCCAGGCAATGAGGATCGAGAACATCGAGACCGAAATCGGTCGGACACTCGATGGTCACGCACTCGGTCTGAGCCGTCTCGTTGCAGAAGCATACGGCGATGCAATCGTCGTACCACTCGGCGCCGATTTTGTAGGATTTGCCGCGGTGGGTGCACATTCCTTTCTCGCTTTTTTCCGCTACTGCAATGGTTTTTGTTACTTCCGCGAGAAGAGACACATGAATGGCTGGACCAGGTCGTGAGTTTTCAACAATGCGAACGTAATAGCCATGCGCAGGTAAAAGATTTGTGATGATGCCGTCTAAAAAATAATACATTTAGTTAATTAGGGGTTTTTGATGTTTTTTTTTTAAAAACGTGATACATAAATACTGAAAAGTAAGTATACTCTGTACCTTTAGTTGGTTTGACTTGTCTCCAAACGTGATTATTTTCCGAAATCTCTACCGTGATATCATCAGACATCTTTGAGGATAGTTTTAATTTAATGGAGGTCGAGTTAAGAACTTTGACATCAGTGAGATTAACATTAAGATCTGCTGGTCCTTCGGATTTGATTTCATGATCTCCCAAAGTCACGTCACATAAAGTAATCGTACAGCAAGAGTCACTAAAATTAATTGTTTGCGTATTAGTTATCAATTATTATTAAACAGAATAGAATGATTTTCTTCAACAATATTTACCTCGGATCAGGCAAAACGACACAACGATCGTGCTGATTGATGCTGCTTGCAGTGTCATTTGGAGGACACCGTGGCTGACATTTCAAATGACCGCCTTCTTCGCAAACGCACGTTTTCGCACATCCATCTTCGACTCTCTGGCCCCTCTGTATAGTTGTGTTCCCAAAAATGCAAGACTCCTCGGATTCGACTGCTAAGAGGCAACCAAAACGCGTTAATTAATATCGAATAAAATATTCCATCCAATCGATGCTTATGCAACGTACACTCACCAGAATCGGGACAGTCTAAAGTTGCGCAACAGGGGAATTCCGGAAGGGGCTGTGCGTGGCAAAGGGGATCGTGATTTTTAGTCTCGTCGGTCTTAACGAGCGGCAATGTGCAAGTCAACGGCTTGCAATCCGTTACTTTGCCGCCTTCGACGCAGCGGCACCACTCGTCGCAACCGCGCTGGATCTTCTGGCCGACCGCATAGGTCTTGTTACCGTCGACACACATACTAGGCGCCACGGTGGGCAGTGGGCTCACCATGGCTGACGTTAAGCTTGTCGCATTGTGCATGGCTATGTACTCTCCACCTGTAGATTGATGAAATTATTAAAGTAACCGCGCGCACGTCTAGAGTCATTTGTTTTAACTCATAAAGTATTAAATCGTCATGTAGGACGTTGAAACAATAGACGGAATTACTGCAAGTGATTTTCTCACCTTTGACCTCTTTATCCTCGTCATCCATGCTAATGTCACTGAGGTCGGTAGTATTGGTTTGCAAAGTATTTCCAGGCTCACTAGCCGACACATTCAGTGCTCTGCCACGAGGTGATTGAACGATCGGAGCTGCCTCGGTACTCAACACCGTAGCTTCGGTACTGACACCCGCGACATTTTGTGCAGTCGTAGGAATTAACGGCTCACCCCGTACTAATATAGGAAGCTCGACCATGACCTTTTTCTCACTGACAGGTGTCTCGTTCGTGGCGATGGCCTGAGTGGTGGCGATCGCTTCGGTCGTAGCTTCGACATTTTTAACGATCGGCTTTTTTATTTCCGGTTTTGGCTTCAGCTCGATGGTACTCTTTTTCGCCGACGATGGTTTATCGGTAGTTTTGCGGGCTGCGGCCGATCCATCATTATCCAGCGGTTTCACTTTTGGCACGTCGTCCTTTTTCTCCTCTGAAACAGAAAAATTAAAAGAAATCCATAAACATTTGATTTATATGCTGGCTCGTGGCGCGCGGAGAAAGTTGACAACGAGAGCTTTACGCGCGTTTCAAATATTTTAATGTTTGCAGTGGAAAAGTAAAATTGCACATGCGTGTAATAGCGCAAAGCGAGCCTGTATGTGCTTGCATAATTGATGTACTATCAACCTACGAGGGTATGTAGAAAATTTCTAACGATGAGAAAACTGAATTTTTTTTTTATATTTATTTTCATTCGTAGAAACCATTCCGTTTGAACTTTTTTGTACGAATTCCATCGATATTTTCTAAGTAAGATGTATATTACGTATTACATCACGGCAAAAACTCTGATCGAGCAGAAATAAAGCATTGATGTGTTGATGAGTCTTTGAACCGATCAGTTTACTTAAGAATGCGCATAAAAAACCGGAAACTGCACGGAGACTTTTGACAGGAACTCATTTCATTGCTCCCTCCCAACGTCGTAAAGCTGGTAGTAGCGAGCTTCCTTCATTATCTCATTTTTCTGGTACCAATTTTCTCGTGTATACTTTACCACACGACTAGCAAATTACACTCTTTAATTGGAACGAAATTGTCACTTTCGAATATTCCTGAATTTGTCAAGGTAATAAATACGAAGATTCTATTTTTTATGAATTTTAATCGAAGTTTTACAGAACTTTTACATTAATTTTCATTTCAAATTCGAATTTTTAGCATTAAAATTTAACCATTTAAATCGATTATTTCTAACGGCATCATGTAAATTAAGCTCATGTTAATGCATATGCGAATCGGTCCATCGATAAAGCGCATTAGATTTCAGGGTAATATGAAAGCCATAAAAATATAATATCGCAAAGCAATTCATAATTAGAATAATAGTAATGGCAAATTGTAGCTTGCCTTATAATATCGCTATGTTCCGGCCTAATGCATCGCGCGCGCATTATGCATCGGTACTCGGGTCGAGTAATTCATTCGAAAGAAAATTGTACTGGATATGATTTTGCATTATAAAAGATCGACGACCTGAATCTTGCGTGACATAAAGCGAGGAAAGGAAAAATGACAGGTGTCTCGGCAAGTGTATGGATGTTATACGCATTTCTATTCATGCAGGTTTGTTTATACAATATTTAATGGACGTTACAATGAGTTCTTTTGTCTTTTGCAAAATAACTAATGCATTTAGAACGTTGCATAAGATGCGCTTCTCAACAAAGAACTTGTAATCGTCAGAAATGATAAATAATGAAATTATTTTCTTTGGGATCTGAATCGAATAGCCGTGTAGTTTTCAGCGTTGAATGATGCTACGAGTACGCTTGAAAGCTGTAGCAGATGAAACGAAGCGTGCCACATCCTTGACACACATCTAAACGAGCCAAGTAGGAATCATTTTTATAATCCGGAAAGAAAAAAGAAGTTCCTATCGCGTGCGAATCGAGCCTTAGCCATTTACTTACTCACACTCGATGTGTATACTTTTTACATTGAAATCTGTATTAACTTTTTGCACCAGTCACCTCAATAGATATGCGTTTGATTGTTTAATACACAGTTCTCATCCTGCTCTATGAATGCGAATGCGGCGAAGTAAAAACGAGCGATATGATTTTGACAAATAACGACTCTTTCTCGTGTGAGCGCGAACTTTGTGCTTAATTAATTGAGGATCGAATGAAAGTATGCGAAATCGGAGTTTGCTGCGTGAGATAAACCTCATATTTTACTTTTCTCTTTTGTTTCATTGGCTTTGAGAAAGTAGAGCTTTTTCCATCATCAGTTAGTGCGCTAAAGACGAATAATTCCACTACGTGTCAATGAGAATGATATTTATCGAATTGTTTCGAAACGATCAAAAGTATGAAAGAATGAATGGACTCGAATAAAAAATATTTCATCGAGCTAATGGATAAAGGGAAAGGAGTAGGTAAGCACGTTGATCAATCAGTGGATACCAACGTCAACAAATACCTTTTCCGTGTACGCGCGTACATGTATAGCAAAAGTCAAGCATGGGTAAGCACATAGCGGAAGCGGCATCGTCCCATTACCTAACAACGAGCCTCGGCAATTTCAGAAATTTACACATCGCTCAGCAAAAGAAACAACAACACCAGCAGCCGCAGCAGCAACAACAACAACGGTAAGAAGTCTACAGTGTCAAGAGAGGAGAAAAGGAGCAGGTACTCAAGAAAAGCCGGCTGCAATCAGCGGGCAACTCCAAGCTGAGCTAGCTTCGTCATCGACATGAAAGAGACGTGCCGTTTTTCTCATGATAGTCTTATGGTGCAGTGATATAGGGTAACCAATCAAACAGTTGGGCTTCCGGCAGATTTACAATTTTTTATTTCAATAATTATTACTAATTTATTTTATAATAATCAATAATCTCAATTATTTTAGTATGTACCCGTTATTTAAAAACGCAGCTTCAAACATTAAAAATAAAAACAAAATTGTAATAAACATTAATTTAAATGCTTATTGCAATCGTCTATCTATAGGTTACTTCACAAGCTGCAGCGTGTTAAAAATGAATCTCTGCCTCTTTGAATTCATGTGTACGTCTAACGCTCGAATGAGGTAGATTTATAAATTCCTCTTATAACAGTTAGGACCGCGAGGCAGCTCGCGACTTATGTATACAGCTCGAGATCCTAATGCAGTAGTAAAGATTCCTTCTTGATGATAGAGCGCGATGACGAACCGATGCGGTGCTATTGTTGTTCCTTGTGTTGCCGCAGATGCATGTGTACGTACACGAGCACTCGTATTTAGAGTACATAGATATACGATACGAAAGCGATGGCCCGTTAACGAAATGTTACGCGAGGCGTTGTTAACTCTCGTGCGGCTGAAGATCCATCGCGATGATCCTTCCCGCGGCCGGGGAAGCTGCACAGCTTCTTTCTTCATTATTACATTGTGCAAGGATCTGGCAGCGATAGTGCAAAATCCGACACCTCGACGGGCTCGTGCTCCCAATGATATAATTATAACAAGTAGAAAGTGTAATATGATGAATTTTCGAGCCTTCCGCCTCGAGTATCGACGGCTATTACTACAATGCGATGATTGGCTATCGCGATGGTGATGATGCCTTTCAACGTTCGTTACATATTACGTGAATGTATCGATACATGCTTTGTAACAAGCTTATAGAAAAAGATTTTCATCGCTGATTGTTGCCTTTCGAGGCAATAAGCAAAATAATATTTTCTCTTAATAAAGCCGTAGCTTATAGCATTACATAGTTACATGTCGAAGAAAATTACCATAATTCTTGTAAAATTGATGCCATTCATCTGTGTTTGTAGCATTTCTCGATTACACGATAATGCCAATTGATACACACGTGGGATTCACACATGCGCGAGAAAGTAATTGGACATCGTATTCTGTTTGTCAGCCTATTTATATAGTGGCTGCTCACGAAAAACACAATACTATCGTTTAATGGATAAATTATAGCGGCGATCGCTGTCGTTCTTTTATCCGATAAATATCGCTGTATAACACAGATGCAAGCCGTCGATTAACAGCTGGCGGGTGAGCACCATTTGTCGCTGCTTAATTACTTTTTTTTTCAATTCTTGCAAATCAAACACCGAACTCGTTCGCGCTTATGTAAAAGCGAGTCGTGGCATTACTCGTTTCTAAATATTTCAGGTATATCGTGAGGAAAAAGGCATCGTCCGTAGTGAGGAAAAAAGAGAGAGAGAGAACTTTTTGCAGTTTTGCTATGCGAAGCTTTTTCTGGAATATACAATATTTACGCTCGCACAACAAATCGTCGAGGTGTGGTGAGCGCGTATTATATACTCGAACGATATATCGAGGAGAGACGTTGAGATCAATTTCCTAGAATAAAGACCGGCCGGTAAAAGTTTGCTTTCTTAAAAATTGAAAAAAATAAAAACAACAGAAAACTAGATCGGCAAAAAAAAAATATTGAACTTGCAAATACGGTTTTATAAACAACTTCATACTCGTTTTCTGTTTGTTCGCGGTGTACTATCAAACGCGAATGCGATTCGCGCAGGACTACCTGAATGGTTCTAGATTACCGCACACGCTTGTATTTATGGATTCGTTGAAATACACTCGAGGCTCGGATTACTGGCGCGAAAGAGTCTGAAGGCTGACTTTTGAATCAGAATTTATTTAGATAGTTACGCGCATCACTTTATTGCAAATTTAAATGAATGTTAATTTCTAATTTTTTTTTTTAATTTATCAACATTTACTGTTTTTATAATGGTGGATATCCATTGGCAGGTGGTGAATTACACGGAGATGTTATATTTGTGTACTTATAACTGCTATGCATACTTTATTTAAATAATCTCATATTATAGTAATTGTTAAATGCTCAAAAGAGTGTAATGCACTCGTGAAGCAAACATTGTTGCACAGTTTGACAAAAGAAGGAAACACTTAGTTCAAAAATTTCTCGTGTACATAAAATTTCCCTCTACGTCGTGTGACTTTTTACGCAAATTGTTTCGCATAATAATTAAACGGCCAACTTATCCATGTATATACCCGCCAACTTGGCTGAAGCAGCTATATGCTCGTTAAACAATATCGGAGAGTTTGGCTTGTATACATCTTGAGGTCAGACGAGGCTATGGATTTTATCTTTTTGTCTTAACTTGGGCGCATATCATGCAAATAGGCTTGCTCGGTGCGGCAAATATCTTCTACTTTTGCTAAACCGATTCGTGCACGCGTCTTATTAGTCTTCGGAGAGAAAAAGGCAGAGAGAAAGAGAAACGAGAGAATCGCTACTCTCCGACTAAGCAATGATGCGGCGCAAACTATTCAGCCGTATCCCATGCAGTACGTAAGTGGCCGAAGCTGCTTGCGTTTAACGGTTCGCGCGAGCAAACGGTACACGCAAGATCAAGCTCTACTCGCGGTATATATACACTGCAGCAGCATCACGTGCGTGCGTGGGCGTTGTGTAAGTATACCTGTATGTACTCGCTATACTTACTTCGAGAGGCTGACTTTTATTTACCCGCGAGTCTTTTTTGCGCGCAGTGCTCGCGAGCCAGATAGCGAGCATCGATCAAGGGTGTGATGAAATTAAGAGCCGCGTGAATTTAATGTCGTGTTCTTTCCGCTCACGCGACCCGACGATTCACTGACTCGAGAGGTGAATGCAAACTACGTTGCTTTTTGAAGTTATACTTTCATATGCCATTGACTGGGATGATTAATTCAGCAAAAGTGAAATTGATTTCTGCGACTGTACGACAATGTTGACTCTTTCGAGCTATTTTTTTTTTTCAATGGGATATACGTATTTGAGTGGAAAAAATGATTTATCGGAACTGCGAGAGTAAAGGGCCATTAATGTAAATCGTGCAGGGCCATAACCACCCACTTTATCCTACTTTGTCATACTTTTGATAAACAATTCGAGAAATACAGTTTAATCGATGCTCTTATTTTAGCCAGTATACGCATACGAATGCCAACGAAGCTGAAATTATTGAGCGGCGTTGAAATAAATCTCTGGAACAAAGTCAATTCAGCCTGTGCGGTAGCGAAAGTTATCGAACTCGTATACCACACCGGAGTTTCGAATACAAACGATTGTCCGCATGTAAGTCCATAATTTATGTACGAGAATACGACAAAATAATAATATCATTTCATATTGCAGGCCGATGTTTGTTTCGCGGAGATTTCCTAGCGCAGATCCGTCGAAACTGTTGCAGCAGCTCGATGCGCGTGCGGTT